TTGTAAACTGCCGTAACAATTTGAAAAAACAACAGAATGAAACAAAAGGTTCTTGCACCCTTTGCTCCTCTTGTAAACTTTGGTAGTCGTTGGTCATATGTGGTAAAAACATCTGTCATAATCTGAAAGTATGACATAACGTCTACAAGGATCGTATCACTCCCTGGAGTCATGGACTTGAGATCGGTTACCTTATATCTCTCAGGACTGCAACAGGACGGCTGACCATGGGTGTCGGTAGTGTGTACAGTAGGCTGATCACAGGTGTAGGTAGCGTCCACTGGACCAGCGGTGTAGGTAGTGTCTAGTGTAGGCTGATCAAGGGTGTAGGTAGTGACCACAGCAGGCTGGCCAGGGGTGGAAGTAGTGTTTAGTACAGACTGGTCAGCGGCGTAGGAAGTGTCTAGTGTAGGCTGACCAGCGGTGTAGGTACATGTAGTGTCTAGTGTAGGCTGACCAGGGGTGTGGGTGGTGTCCACAACAGGCTGGCATGTGTAGGTCTCGACCACTGCAGGTTGACCAGTCTCCAAAGCTGCAGTGGGCTGTAGGTTATGAGGAGGTATTGTTTTATTGATTCTAGATACATCGTTTTTTTTTTATATTGACAGGGTCGTTGTCACACTATCATTAAAGTTCATCTGTGTTGGTAGTTACATGTTAAGCTAAAAACTTTTGATCCAAGACAATACCATATTTTTGTTCTTTGAAAACTTTGCCACGTTCAAAGTGGAACTTGATGCCGCCAAGAAAAATCAAAAGTAATTAAACAATGTTTAGAGTTAGATGTTTAAAGGCTAGGTGTAACATGTTGTTCAGTGTAATGTAGCCAGCTGCCGCCGCACCGCGTGCCTACAAAACTGCAGCTTGTGTGTTACGCCGAGGGGCGGTTATACCAGCTTCACATAATATACAGGTATTGCCGGTATAGCCGCGTTTGCACGTAACACCACAGCTTTGCAGGTTTTTGGAAGAATGTTCTTTTCTAATATATAATCAATAAAACCGGGTTGGGTTTGTGACGTACGGACCAATCTTTATCATGAGACGCGACATGAACGTGATTTAATACGTCTGGACTAAAGGTCGACTTAGATTAACAATTATTCTAAAAAAAAAGATGGTAGCAAATCCACGTGTGTGTTTGTGAAACCTGCATATAGCAATGTTCACGTACATTGGAGAAACAAGTCAGCCACTCAAAGAAAGAACATTTTGTGCAGTGATCCAGTTGCTTGATTCCTTTTTCTATAACGCAAGGACAAAAGACCTCACCTTCTTTACATCCTGAACCCCTCCTCTGAAAGACAACCCCACAAGGGTTCCGCCGAGGATCAAAAGCGCCAGAATGGTTGCTGTAGTTACAGCCACACCCACACGGCGATACGAGCAGCCTGAAAAAGCACCCATCACACTATTCTCCAAACAGAGGTTTGGGTGTATTTTTGGTGTGTTTTTAGGCTTTTTTTTTTATCGGGGTGTCTTTTTTGCAAGGAAATTTTTTCACCCAACCCCAAAAAGTTGGTTGGGGTTGGGTTGGGTGAAAAAAAAATCCAGTGCAAAAAAGAAACCTCGATAAAAAAGCCTAAAAACACGCCAAAAATACACCCAAAACCCAAACCTCCAAACCTTGGAGGGTACCATCACAACTACCTGGGAGTGGTTAAGGAGGTAAGACAATTATTGTAAATCATACATAAGAGAGAATACAAACTTTTCAGGGGTGAGATTTTGCGTTCAACAGACAAATCTGTTATGGAGGTAAGACAATCATTTTAAATCATGTAAAAGAAAGAACACAATCATATTTGCATACCAAGATATGAATCTCGAGAAATGAATTTGTTGAATAATTATACAAGTGAATCGGGCAATATTAAAAAAAAACAGAAAGAATCCTCATTGATGACAGATGGTCTTCGAAACATCGGCTCTTGCAATAAAACAAGTGGTTGTAATTTAAGAACTTTAAGATTCAGAAAGAATCCTGCAAACGTGCTGAATTAGTCGGCTGCAGTACTGCCTTAGATTTTACACAGAATGCATAACCGTATCATAAAGAAGTCTTGGAAAGTATGTAACGATTGAAATGTACAATGTATCTTACCGCAAAATCGTAGTTGAAAAGCTCGAGCATTTGGCGCGTACATTGGGTTGGGGGTCAAGGCGTCTGGGTTGATTATGTGATCTCGGCACGGTGCAATAGCTGGATCCCCGATATTTTGTAAGTTAGTGTCATCCCCGCTAGTACCACCACTACTGGTAGAGTTATGTGGATCTTTTCTTATTTTAGAGGGATCATTGGTTTGGGCCTTTTCATGACCAGACGTATAAGACAACAGCTCATCTTCGCACATGTATGCTACAGCGTACGGTTGCATGTCACTATCATCAGAGGCAATGTTATCAGCCTGTTTTTTGCCACTGGCTTCACCGCGTTTAGTGGATATCTCACGGCTGTCCCGTTCTTTGTATCCTTGTTCGGGGTCGCCATCGGTTTGTGTGGCTGACATTGAGTCTGTTTCGGGTGGAACGTTGGACATGGAATAGAAGGGTCGCTTATACATGTCTTGATTGTACATCGGATTTGGTAATTCTGCACCTGGGTCGTTTTCGTACATCGGATTTTGGTCCAGGGATTTTCGCTCAGACATTATGTATAAGTCAGTGGCCATTCGGTTTTTAGTGTCAGTTGATTATTATTACCCCTGGAGCAATACAATAATCATGGCAATATCTTATAAAACGAACAACAACATTAAAATGAACAATCATGTAGGAAAGTGCAAAACTAAAACCGTGGAGTAACACCTGGTCCTATGTACCGAGTACCCAAATATTATCACTTCAGGATATTTACTGTGTCATTTGAAAATTCAACTTTTGACCAAATTAAAGTAAATTCTTGTAAATAAGATTAAATTAAATTGATGGCAGCAATAGCTAAGAAGGAAGTGAAACCTTTTACTCACTGTACGCACGACTTCTGTGTAAGGCCCGTGCGCAGGGTTGACGGTACTCTTGTGGCAGACAAAAACCTATCAAAAACTACACTTCACTGTTGGAACGTTGGACTCGAATCCAACTTTGAGCACGGCGGCGGCTTGTTGGATGATTCAGGCCGACTGAAAATTGATAAGCGGAGTCTGGGAGTTAAATGTGTTTTTTTTTCATCAGTTGGAATGAACCACTCCTTTCTCGGGTGGAGGGGGTGGGCAAGCATTTATTCTTCATATATGAAATTATGTATGTGGATTATAATTACTAAAGGGGTAAATCATAAATTGTTTTAAAAACTAAATGATGTGGTTGTTTAAGAAAATGAGATGAACAATACGATAACATAAAGAGAAAAAAATGAACAAACCTTTAGCTAACACTTTTAGTGAAATGCTTGGAATGGATTTGCCAACGTTCTAGAGTCGATAGACGAATTAAATCATTAAAACTTATGTAACTTCTGTACTCACGTAACAAACAATGCCAAGTTTAGTTAGAAAAACCCACAGGGATCAGTTTCTTTTCGTCAGCAGACAAATCTAATCGCAGAATACTTAGAGCACTCAAATCTTGCCGTAGACGCGAGTCAGGCAAGCTCGCGTGCATAGGATAAATACATTTTCAATGCCAAGGTTCGTCCGTGGTGCCTCAAGGTTTAAATTAGATTCGTGGTTGACCTGCAGATGGTTTGAGATAACTTAGGTAATAGACCATGTGGAGACTACAAGTGTACGTTTTTGTCGTACCGGTGGACATTTAGAGGAAAAAACTTTTAGATGTACACGTCCGTGCTCTGGCATCGATAGACCAATGAAATCAACAAAAAAGTTTTGCGATCTATATATTGTACAGCATTTGAAAAACCCTGTCAGCGTTCAATCATAAAACGATCCAAGGATCAGTTGTTTTTCGTCAGCAGACAAATCTAATCGCAGAATACTTAGAGCACTTAAATCCTACCGTAGACGCGAGTCAGGCAAGCGCGCGTGCATAGGATAAATACATTTTCAATGCCAAGGTTCGTCCGTGCATGGTGCCTCACGGTTTAAATTAGATTCGTGGTTGACCTGCAGATGATTTGAGATAACTTAGGTAAAAGACCATGTGGACACTACAAGTGTATGCTTTTGTCGTACCGATAGAAACATTCCCAAAATCGCTAAATTTTCTTCCAGTATTGTAACGTTATGGACGACAAATGTACAGATTTTACCAGCGCTCTGCCATTGATATACCAATGAAATGACCGAAAAGTTTTGCGATTTATTGTACAAACTCTGCCACGCGTACGGTTCGATTGAAAGTCCTCAGAGGATCAGTTGTTGCGCCAGCAGACAAATCCAATTTTCAATAAATGATTATATTGGAACACTCAGTCAAATCCTACTGCAGACGAATCAGGCAGGTAAACGAGCGTAAAATGTCAAGATTCGTCAGTGGTGCCCCAGGGTTTACATTTAATTTGTGGTTAGGTCAAGTCAAGTTACCGTGGAGATGGTTTGAGATAACTTTGATACGTTATAGACCATGTGGGGGGGGGGGACAACAAGTGTACATTTTAGTCAAACCGATAGAAACATTCCCCAAATCACTAAATTTTCTGCTAGTATTTTAACCGTTACGCAATGGAGGACGAATATCTAAGATGAAATATAAAAGAAATGTAGAGATTTTTAAGTAAAAGTGTGCTTCAGGTTATCAGGTATTAAGGCACTGGAGCCAAAAATGTACATTTTTGTATCAAATTATAAAAAAGTACCATTTTACCCAATTTTTGGAGGCATATGCCAAGCATGTGAACACCGTTCTGTTAGCAAGGCTCCCCAATCCCAAATTACAGGTCATTTGGTTTTCGTATTAGGGCACAGAAGCCAAAAATGTACATTTAGGATCAAAATTCCCAATTCACATAATTTTAAAGTGGTAAATGGCAAAGGCATGGATAACGTCCTGTAGGCATGTCTATGGATCTCCCATACCAAATTTCATGACATACACAAAAATCACATTTTTCACCTTTTATTTCTCCTTATCCCCCAGCTTGTACATGTACAGAATATACACGTAACATGCACATAAAATAACGACAGTTGAAAACATATTCACCGACAAGTCAATACATGTACTAACTTTTGGAAGGGTACATACAAAAGAAAATTTTAGAAACATTTTCAAACCAAATACTCAGTGAAAAGCTGTTAATACAATGAATATTTTTTTTACAAGCATTCCAATGTTTGTAGTAAAAGATACGAATCAGTCTCCAGCCACTAGCGAAAGCAAAGAGATGTTACAAAAAGCTACCGGTTCAAGAGAAATTATTCAAGAGAAAGTATTGTACAATGGAAGCAGTGCAAAATGATATTAACATTTAATTTCATTTGTACGATACTCTGATTATGAATTTTTTTGGAAAATTACTTGTTACCACACAATCTTCGTTCTCCATCTAAAATAAAGTCCTCTAAAAACGACATTTCTACCGCAATCATGAAATCAATAGACTAGCAATGCTTTAAAAATCACCCCCTCTGTACATATGCGTATCACGTAGATCTACATACAATTTCTATTGCTTACATACATTATTCCCTTGCAATTATAACCTTCGGGCAAAACTTTGCAAATAGATTCACCAGTTAATTAACTAAAATAGCTTGCAATTTTACACACTTTAAACCAATTATCTACAACTTAGGGAAGTTACAAACTGTAGATTTATACACCATTGCCTTACAGCCATAATTCACCATTCAAACGGAAAGTACTTTACAGATTTCTGGACGCACAAGGCGGCATTTGACACTTATACCTTATATACCATTTACACTTAGACATTTACAAAAATATAATATTATATTTTTCTGACATATAGTTTCTCAACACTGCTTTGTTGGAATATACATTGTAGTAGATTGTACTCCATGTATCTCACCTATTCCTTTACCTCAATGCATGAAGGTTTTGTTTCAGTGTGTTGATACAATTAAAAAAATTCTACGTGTGGAATTCAAAAGCAAGATAGTGCAGCAATATACTAAAAAAAAGTAGTTTTTGGTCTAGTATTGAATTTAGGATACCAAAGTGTAAATCTTAATAGACCATATTCCCAGCTACCTGACAAAATGTGATTGTCATTTTATACAATAAATGTCATAAATGATAGCAAATAGTAATCTGCAATATTTCAAGTCAATGTTTTTATGATCCAATATTTAATTGTTCTAAGTTCTGATTAACCGTTTCTGACTATAGATTAGGAAAGATTTCAATCTCAATTCCCGTTACTTTTGGTTCTCAGTATGGTTGATTGCTGACTTCAGTTGTTTCAGTATGAACGCTTGATGCAAAACTTGCGAGCGACGGCCCTTGCAGTTGCCAGCAGGAGAAACACGGCTACCCCCATCACCATCATCACTGCTGCTTGGCTGTTCTGCCAGCGGGAAGCTAGACAAACCAGGTAAAGAATTAGTTTCAGCTTTTAAAGCAAAATCAATGTGTTGAGAATGGATCCATCAACTTCAAGACATGATTGTGCTTATGTGGTATCCATCATATCTTAATGTCAAAGTTCATCTCTGCTGTCTTGGTAGAAGTCATTATGAAGCACTGTAATTGCCAATACAAGAAATTGGACTTACCAACGTTTGGACTGTACAACTTTTTAAAGAATGATCCACTACCTATGTCTGTGACATAACTCCACCAAATGAACAAAATGCGACATTACACAAGCTGAGTGGATCATTCACTACTAAATACAATGTATGTGTGTAAATATACTAAATGTTGTTTGCCCAACCCAGTATACATATTTGTTATACATGTTTTATTATATTAGACTAATGTTGCTGAATTCTGCCCAACCCAGTGTACATGTGTGTTATACTAGTACCTTAAATGTTGCTCAGCCAAACACAATGTGCATGGCATTGTCTAAAATTTCGTAATATATATATTGGGTGTTTATTGACTTCATTTTCACACTAAAATACATGGCAGTGTCATCTGCTATTCTACACAGATGCTGAATTGTGCATTTTAGGCATCTTAACATTATTATATCAAACATACCAACTGATTCAAACATTAATATTGCCCTATCTAGTGTACGTAATAAATGACATGTGTGTTAATGTTCTCCACACCTTGTCGTCCAGGCCTGTTCTGTTCTACATACACCATCTCAGCAGGCCCATCATAGTTGTGTCCGACTGCCGTCACACTTCTCACCAAGTGGTTGTACTGTCAAGGGGGTCAGAAAATAAAAGTTCCTGTTTGTAATCCTTATCTATTGCCATAACTGCAACATTGTGACTGAGACATAATCTCCAAGCAGATCTTTTGGTGGCTGCAAAGACAGAATCAAATTGGCCACTCAGGCAGTATCCATTTGCCAATAATTACATTTACCAATGGCAAAATGGTCGTACAGACTATCAAACAGATGCTGTCTGGCCAATTTGATTCTATATTAAATTTTGCAGCCACCAAAAAGATTCTGCTTGGAGATTAATTGCAACAGGTTTCTTAACAAGTTCACTTAGATGTATGTTAAATAAAATCATTAATAATAACTTAATATATATAATAATGACCTTTTACTGACAGATTTTTTAGTGGTTTAAATTTTGTGGCATTAGCTAACCTGGTCTGTCACATAGATGACCTTGTTGGTTGGGTCCAAGGTCAGCCCCGTGGGGTGGAAGAATCGAGCTCCTGCACCTGTTCCATCTTTGTATCCAGCCGTGGGTCCACCTGCCAGGGTCTTCACTATCCCTGGGGAGGTACACACACAGAATAGATCACTTCTGCATGGGGTACATATTGTCAACAGCACTCCGCCTTCTAAAATCATCTAAGTCATGTATCAAGAAGGCAACCAGAGATGGCAGACCTCAAAGCCTTTACATGTACATTCTCTCAGAGCTTTGCTTTCACTGCATACCTAAACTTTCATTGGTAATTAATAAAATTATGTTTTACTTATTATCCTAACGTTATATGTGTGCTAGAAAATTGTTGTGTTTTGTTATCTTACCTGCTGGAGTTATCATTCTGATACAGTTGTTTTCCTGTATGAAGAAACATTGAGAATAACTTTACACATTAAAGATCAATCTACAATGTCCAGTAAATCTACCACTCCCAGACCATTTGCTAATGAGCCCAGCAGCTACCATACAAAAAAATTCAAACCACATAGAATTTCCAAAACCAGAAATCATGCTGCAGTACCTACATGTAGTAAAGGACTAGGGAGGTAAAGATCGAACTTCCAAATATTGAATGCATACCAAGTATTGAATGCATACCAAATATCATAAATGGCCATCAATTCATGCTGTTTATGTATGTGATAACACACACACACACACATGCACACACCTAAAACATAACTTTCTTGAAAAAGGTAACAATGCCTCCATTTTCACAGACACAGTACAACAAAAAACAAGAAATGAACAGTTACTGTATCAGTACAATGTAATATCTCAAATATGCACACTTACAAACTCTGCCACATACAGGACCCTGTGTGTGGTGTCAAACGCTATCCCCTCAGGATTGTTAAGTCTGGCGTCTGTACCCTTGCCATCTTTGAACCCTGGCTCCCCTTTCAGGCTTCCTGCCAGAATACCTACATCGTAACCTGTGAAGAAATACAATTACATGTAATACTACCATCAAAAATCCTTTTTTTTCTACATACCTGCACCAACTCAGGTAAGTAAATATGGAAATTAAACAATCTGCACCTGTCCAGACAACTTTTACCTGCATCACTGATTGTATGGATCATTTTCTATATGAGTCAGACTCAATGCAGCAAATTAAAATCCACATACACCTGCTTGTGTATAATAAAACCAGCACATGTTACAGTTACCTGTAGCTACAGGTAGACATCAGAAATACCTGCACACGCTCCAATTTTACCTGCACTTAAAACCTGCATATGCAGGTGTGATTTCAAGCACATGTAAAATCTCTTTAAGTGTGCAAACCTCCACAAGTGCAGTGTAGTTTCAATGTGTTCTGGTACATTGGCTTATAGACTTGCAAATGTCATATATACATGTTTACTTGTCAGTGTGAAAGGGACAATGTGAATGTGATACATTTTATCTATTAATATTAAGTGCATTTTTGTAAGGATTGACAACCAATGTAAGTGTGCAACAATTGTACTTAACCTATCAGTACATATTTCACATTTTAGATATATAAAAAATTATGTAGATTTACCTTGTAATTTGATTGACCTTATGGCATGGTTGTACTGGGAGGAAGAATAAGACATACTTTACATTAATAACTTTCAAGTCAATTATAAGTTAAAAATGATATTAAAAGACTTCAGTTACATAATGTAAACTCTAGGACACTTCGATTTACACTGGACCTATAGCTTAATATCTGTGACCAGGTGTGTATACCCTGCCCATGGGTCTACATGTACACTAGCTGTGATCTCTGATGATGAATAACTGCCAGATTCCTAATGTGATTTTGGCATCTGTATAATCTCAGTGACTGAGATACAGATGCCAATGAGTGTGTATGTCATGAACTAAGAAAGCGGAAACTTTTGAACAATTTAATAGGTAAAATGTGTACTTAAGACTATATTTCATGAACTCACATGATCAGTTACGTAGAGGATGTCTGTGTAGGGATCATAGGCCATCTGAGTTGGGTGATAGAACCTGGCTGCACTGCCCCGCCCATTCACCAAGCCCTTCTTCTTTGGGGCACCGGCAACAGTTCTTACCACGGCTGGAAGGGAAATAAAGCCATTTTGTGCTGTTAATTAAATGTTCGTTAAAAATAGATCCCACATTCATTACAGATTGGCTGATTATATCAATTGAAAATCAATTGACAATCATTTTTCAAACTTTCTATACTATTTCAGCCGACAGATAAATGTTAATGTAGGTTAACCAAATGACCTTTTAAAAGTTCTTCATGGATGAAATTTAACTTTACAAAAATTCAATTCATCGTTTTTGAAAGTTCACAACACAAGTCTCACCATCAGGCATACTCATCTCTCTGATCACATGGTTATCCTAAAGAGAAAAAGGAGGTCATAAAAATATTATTGTCAGTTTTGCTATGACAACAGTAAAATACTACTGTACATACATATACCTTTCACACACAAAATAAATGGGGAGCAGATAAAAGGATGGATATAGAAAAATGGAAAAATTTAACCCACACACACAGGTTACTTTCCAACAATTGCATGTAGTAAAGGGTTAAAATGCCAGTGCCTATGTGCATGGTGTGATACATGTAAAGCATGGTCAGTTCTTACAATTGTGTATAATAAATAACCATTTGATAAATCACTGAGCAAGCGAAGGTGTATTAATGTTGTCAAGTGGGTATAACTCATTTCTTAGAGTCACAGACAGCTTGAACCTAATGTTGAATATATGTGGAGAGCTCATAAGCTTAAGTGGTCAATATAAAGTAATGGTAATTATATCATATATGATGCTCGATGACTCTAAGTGGTTATTGCAAAATAGAGCCATCTCATTGGTCAACATCATTCAACAGTATGGAAATTAGTTCAATATTATATATAATCATTATAGTTATTATTATATATTAAACTTAAGTTCGGTTAATATTGAATTAGGTATGCAAACCTGAAAATATCTACTTACTGTGTCTGCAACAAACATCCTATTTTGCTTGGTATCCAGGTATAAACCTTGTGGGTGGTAGAACTTGGCATCAAGACCTTTTCCCTCCTTAAACTCTACTTCCTCAGGATCTGGGTTCCCAGCAAAGGTCTTGACCTCTCCTGGAAGAGTGTTGAAGTAAGAGACTAAGTTGAACCTCTTTGTAATAGACTAAATATTTACATTTGTATGTCGCCGACAGGCAACTTTTTTCACATAACATTCAAGACCTTAACACAATATGGTAAGGTAGTATTCATAAAGCGAGATGTCCGACATTTAAAATGGCAAAAGGCCACCCATCATATTATGTCTTACTTTCATTGGTATAATATGTCTGACTCAGAATTTATATTTAATTTATAAGATGAATTTGGTTACTACATTATGTATTATTTTGAAGTTTTTATTGTTACACACTTTTTAAATCAGTGAAGCTGTCTGAAAGTCTGTGTATTATCATATAATATTGCCAATGGAATAAGATGATCTCCTACCTGTTTTGATACTGACTTGTCTTATCACATTATTTGCCTGAAACAAAAAAGAAAATGATACACATGTACTAACTAAAAGTAAAGTTAGTCAGAGTATATCAATAGATGCAACTTCACACACACACACCAGAGAAATATTAGATTTTACAGTTTTTGTAAATTTCTTGTTAAATCATTATAATGCTGAATTTGTGTCAATGCATTTTCATACAGGGGCCAATGTTAACACAAAAGGTATGATGTAGGAAATTAGATCCCAGTCAACTTGCTGCGAGTGTGATAACTTTCTGTGTCAAACCTTTTGTGGTCTGTGGTTAGGGAATTCCCCCACCCAGTCAAGTGTCCAATGACACAAGATATTGCACACACACACACACACATACACACACACACACACACAAACACACACACACAAGCACACTGCCAAAACAATACCTATTGTTTTGGTACACAGGGGTAAGTTGACTTTGACAATACAGGAGAAATCGGATTAAGGCTATGTGTTGAAGAGGTACTTACACTGTCACAGACATAAAGCATGGCCTTGTCCTCATCAACAACCATACCTGTGGGGGGAATAGAGAAATTTGTGCATCAGATGTATTTAGGTCTAATGAAATGCAGTTTCATTCCTCCTGTTGAAGTATGTTTTAATTTATGTCCTTAAATTCATGTCTGAACACTACCAAGAGACTCCATGTAAACTATATGTCATAAATCCATTATTAAAGACCTGAAGCATTTACCTGCAGTATGGTGAAAGTGAGCGTCTTTTCCAACCCCATCCTGGTTACCCTGGGATGATCCAGCTATTGTTGTTACCCAACCTTTAACAAAGTACATGACAACGTATTACAGATCTAGAAGTGGCAAATGATATAAAAAATCACAGTTAACAACAGTAAACAAAGATAACAGTTGTTTGGTCATGTTTTTACTGCGTACCGAGTCAGAACCAGACCTAACTTTTCGGTTCAAGTCCAAATATATTTGTACCATGATATTGATGTATTTCTGAGTGTTATAAAAAGAAGGACAAAGTGAATACCTTAATATCTATGTACCAACTCTAATTTTTTTCAGGACTGTAAAAGGGAACATGTAGCATTAATTTTCTGTATCTATATAGCCGGTATAACCGCCCTCCGGCGTAACACACCAGCTTAAATTTTAGGCAGGGTTGCTAACCACTGGACTATGCATGTTAGTTGTACTATCATAAAATAATTGCGGGAAACTCACTGTCAGAAAGATATATTCTCCTGATCCTGTCATTGCTATGAGGTGTATCTGGGCAGCCCTAATAAAACAAAGACAGCAATGGTTGAAAAATCCTCCAATGACAGCCAGGCATAGGAATCACTATGGAAATAAATGTTTCCAAAGACCAGTACAGTGGATTGTTGTTAACTTCCAATAAACATTGTCTCAATGTTCCAAAGTGTTATAAAAAAAGAAACTAAAATGATATTGAATTAAGGAAATCTGTTACCTTTTCTTATGAAAACAACTTTTACCATACTGATTACTTAAATATTTTACAGTATGGTCAAAAAATTGGGGGGGGGGTCGTAGGAAAAAAATTCATATGAGCAGGAATGTCATCCATATATAAATGAAATGAGTAAAGGAATGAATGAATGAATGAATGGATGGATGGATGGATGGAAGGATGGATGAATGAAAGTTTATTATTGTGTCTAGTGACTACATGCCACCCAGCCCAAATTAGCTTATAAGAGTATTAAGACACCAGCAAATGAAAAAAAATTAGTAGAATCAAAATCAAATCAAATCAAAAGGTAACATAGGACATACATGTGTTAAGATTCTTAAGAATATGTAATTGAGTCAGCATGGCTATATTACATACACAGTCAGCCACATAGATGGAGTTATCAGACTTGTCGAAGACCAGTCCCCATGGGTAGTTGAAGCGGGCATCCAGGAAAAACCCATCCATGGAGGCTGCAGTATCCACACAGGCATCCCTGTCTCCCTCATGGGGCTTCCCTCCCCCTGCTATAATGGACACTTCCCCTGCAGGAGAAACAGTGATGATGTTACAAGTGGTGTGTACAGGGCAGTGCCCATCTCCATTTTTTTAGCCCTTGGGCCACACAGCTGTGCATGCATCATAATACTGTTACACTCAAATGTACACAAGCAAGCATGCAGATGCAAACACGCACACACACAAACGCACACATGTAAGTGTCACAATTGTGGCATACAAGCTGGCACACAGACACACACAAAAGGCAACACACACACACACACACACACACACACACACAAACACACAATGTGACATACAAACACAAACACACACACACTAGCACACAAGCAGACACACAGTAGCACACACATACACAGACACATGCATGCCCAGACACACACACAAACATACTACATAAGCCACACACACACACACACACACACACACACACATGCACACATGCACACACACACGTGCAAACACACACAGACATAAAATACACCAAAAGCAATGGGAGTTAAAAATTTGGGAGTGAAAATACACCAAAAGCAATGGGAGTTACAAAATTATAACTGAATTACATAAAGTAAGTGTGAAATTTGTGTAATCATAATGATTATAGTACCAGTTTTTTTTTCACATCTCACCTGGAGTTAAGCCATGTGCCTGGCACACCAGACTGAGTATGTACAGTCCAGCTAACATCCGTACAACACTGGATGGCTCCATCTATATGCATTGATGATGACAATAAATAATAGACTTTAGTTATTAGAATAGCCTTGTACCAGGCTTCGGGAGGCAAGAGTAGAAATCTGCCAATAGAGAGATAACATACCTAAGGAGTTGGTCTGCTAGAGAGTACATTTTTCTCTCCAGCAGACCAACTCCCTCACGGCATTTTATATTAATGTAATATAACGTTAATGATCATCATACTTGAATCATAGAAAAATCATGCAACTTTCAGGGCAAACTATTTTTAAACGCCTTTCATGTTAGCATTGAAGCATGGATGTTCAATCTAACCAATAACTTATAATGCTTAAATATTGATCAGACCTGTTTAACTCAATTTCCTTGATTTATTTAACTCAAATTTACCGATTTAAGTTCCAAAGGGTATAAAATATAATAACAATATGTTGAGGACCACGTTTATAAAACGCATTGTCAGCTGCCTAAGGAATCTGAGAGAGACCATGTGTACCAAATGTTGTCTATATCCTGTCCTAAATACTCAGTGAAGCATTATAAGTGCAGTGATGAGTGACGTTAAATATAATAATAATAATTAAAGTAGTGCCTGTAAACCGTAACCGCTCAAACCTGGTTCGGAGAAACTAAAAAAGCTTGGTCCTCTTCAACTGTGTTCTGTCGACCCACAAGACCTCCAACATCCAGGTGTCACCAAGGAGGAAGCTCATTGATGTCACATGCTGGGTTTCCACTGGGTTTCCAAACCCCCACCAGGAAACGCGAGGAGAAAAACCGGGCGTCAGACAACCCGGAAGTGGCATATTGTCTGCTGCTAGGATGCCGTAAATCGGTACGTTCACATTTTACGACTTTTTTATCCTGGACGGTCCTGTCAATAACAGAAAGTATTGTACTGCTGACAGGACCGTCCTGTGAATAACAGAAAGTATTGCACTGCTGACAGGATCGTCCTGTCAATAACAGAAAGTATTGCAGTGCTGACAGGACCGTCCTGTGAATAACAGAAAGTATTGCACTGCTGACAGGATCGTCCTGTCAATAACAGAAAGTATTGCATTGATGACAGGACCGCCCTGTCAATAACATAAAATTTAATTATTCTACTATTGACAGGACCGATAAAATTTCGGGATTTTTTTTTTCCTTTTTTTTCGGTCAATTTTTGCTTTTTTTTTTTTTTTTTGGTCAAGTTGTTGGTTAGTGCCCAGGTGCTTTAAGTTGCTATTCGGCCAATTTTTGCGATTCTTTCAGCACGCAGTGCAATACTTTCTGTTATTGACAGGACCGTCCTGTCAACAGCCACAGGCTTATGCATTAACATCATCTATCTATCTCTGCAGATCATCTATAGGTATATCTAATATCTTCTCGTTCTCAATTCATATATCACAAGTTCTGATGAATGGACTTGGAAATTAGGCCCCCTATAATGTTGACGGAACAGAAAAATACATGCGTATGATTGACATAGTCGCTCATGCGTGTGCAATACTTTACTGAGTACTCGCAGCGCAGTGCATTTTGCATGCAGATATGGCGCGACGAGGTCGTCCAACGACTAGCTGGTATTCTAGTTCTATACAATACTAAGCAATACCCCTCGCGGGGTCTAGTGCTTAGGGAAGTGGTCGTTCCCCAGCGTGACCGGTGGTGGTGGTGAGGAAAAAAAATAACAACAAACAAATAATAACAAAGACAAGTGCAATAACTATGTACAGAAGTCATGGCTGGGGATTGGCCACATTCCTACAGCTGGGTACAGCTAGGGAAGCCATAATGACTGGCTACCCCAGCTTTGAAGTGTTCAATTGACTTAGCCATTACCAGATGGTCAGGTAAGGCGTTCCATTCGATCACTGTTCGTGGGAAAAAGCTACCTCTAAAGGTCTCTGTTCTACAGTGTAGTGTGTTGAAACGTAGCTGGTGCCCTCTGGTTGGGTTTGTGTTTCTTGTAAGAATGTGGTATGATCACACCTAGGAGGTTATAGGGGAATGGACTGTATATATGATGTATGGTGTTCTTATTCTTCTGTCATGGAGCCTGAGAAAATTTTTGACGGTGAAACGGTCAGAAATGGCTCTCATGGTTAACTTTAATGGTTTGCACAGGTGCTCGCACTGCCAAACCCTACCGGAAATATTAACATGCACCCGTTTCCTGTAGGATTCGAACCCGGGACCTCTTGGTTCTGACCCGAACACTCTGGCGCACGACTCCAGTGAGTCATAAATTGTCTGGCTCAGACAAGAGGGCCTCCTGGGTTGGAATCCTGCCATGAACAACTAATCTTATACCCTTGGGAAAGGCACCATTGTACCACCATACTCCCGAACACCAGAAGGCCAAGGTTAGGCTTAAGTTTGGGAGCAGTCTGACCAGATTTAGGCCACGCCTACCTTTCTATACGGATGCGAATCGAATTTATGTCAAATTTGACTGCCAACCACGCCTCCACCTAGTCCCGAACACCAACCGACCACCAGCCAATAATTGCCGAACCTCCCATCCACACCCGAATGTTGTAAACATTTTGAAACATTCGGCTGACGCAGCCGAACCAGTAAGTCGACCTGGCCGAACACCAGCCGACCTTGCTCCCGACCTACTCCTAACCATGGTTGGGGAGAGTTCGGCTAGTGTTCCTGAGGCCGTGTATTCGGCTATGTGTGACAGGGAGTTTATATAATAAGATAAACCACCCTTCCCGTCCGTTAGTCGAAACCGTTCGTCAAAATCTCTTGCAAAATCTCGTCTTGCTAGACTGGAAATCATTACACCTCCCTTGCCGCGATGTCTGAACATTGGATCCCGACCCTTTCTCTTTGACGGATAAATGATAATGATTACACGAACAATGATTACACTTTACACAGATAAGTTCTTAATGATAATGATTACAGACTCTTATCCTTGTAAACATTATCTCTCAGATGTTTACAAGGATAATGATTACACACTAATACACAGATAAGTGTTTAATGATAATGAGAACAGGGATAGCGATTACACGAATAATGATTACACAGCCGTGACAGATAAGTTCTTAATGATAATGATTACACAGATAATGACTACATGGATAAGGATTACACGTTAAGGTTTACACATATAATGATAATTACACATGCCTGTAGCCAGGATTTTGAATGGGGGGGTTCTTCCCACTGCTTGAGTTGACCTCGAGCGCCGTAGGCGCGAGGTTCTTAGGGGGGTCCGGGGGCATCCTCCCCCGGGAAATTTTGAAAAATAAACCTTCTAAAGTGGCATTTCGTGTATTTTTGCGAGGATTTCCAAGAAAAAATCAGAGATAACTTTTTATTCAATGGCAAAGGGAGCAGTTTTTCTACGATTCCAGTCCATCTTTTCAGGAAAAATCTTGGACCTTTACATAAAAAGTGGACCAAAAAGTGGACCTTTGAGCCTTGTTGGGCCCCCCCCCCGGCTACGGGCATGTTACACTAAATGATTGCAAGGATAATGAATTCACAAATAATGATTACAGAAATAAGTGCTTAATGATAATGATTACACGGATAATGATTACACAGATAAGTACTTAATCGTAGTCAGGTACAAATCTTGTTGCTTGTCATACTTAGCATGGCTGAACCTCCCGTCTACACACGAATGTTTTTTTTTAACATTTGGCTGGCGCAGCCGAACAGTAGCCAACCAGCACGTCGGCAGAACGTACTGCGCCTGCGCAGAACCCTGTATTTTACGCTTTTCGGTGGATTTTTGGTCAACGTTGCATTGGACTTTTTCCCTGTTGCAGAGGATATCTTTTCCGACATAACATTTGGCACCTACAGATGAGATGTTAACCTTATATGCGCGAATACGACCTTATATGAGACGTTCTACCGAAGTGCTATGTACAATACATTACGGATTACGCGCAGATGCAGTACGTTCTGCCGACGTGCTGAGCCAACCTGACGAGCACCAGCCGACGTGCTCCCGATCGACCTACTCCTAACCATAGTTGGGTTTAGTTCGGTCAGTTTTCGGGAGGCCGTATTCGGCTACGTGTGTGACATGGGCATTGACGGTTCCACGCTTTTACGCATGGTGTATGAGGTACCCTGAGAACGTGACGTAACCCGTGTAGTCTCCCCACATGGAGGACCGCGCGTCCAGCTCCACCCAAACCTCGTCCCCAGGCTTCAGCAGCAGGATGGCGCTGTTACTGCTGGAGAGGTGTTCCCCCAGCGACTTGTCGTACAGGCTGATGACGGGTTCCCCGTTCAGCATCAGCCGGCTCCAGTAGGCGGACCCCTTCACGCTGGTGGTCATGCCGGTGTACGTGAACATGTAGTACCCCGCGACGGCGGGCGCGAACTTCCCCGTCACCATGTCGTACGCCCTCCCCACGTTGGTGTGGACGATGTTGAACTTCACGACCGTGTGCTCCAGGACGTTGAGGATCCGGCTGGACAGGGCGGCGGAGAACGCCACGAACGGCAGATCCGCCAGCCGGTTCTGCAGGCTCAACACGCCGCCACAGCTGCAAGGCTCTCCCGGCGTCCCAGGTTCACCCTTGTCACCTTTGAAACCCGTTTTTCCTGGACCACCCGGTTGGCCATATCCACCTGGTGCACCTGTTTTACCTGGTTTTCCCGGGTCACCTTTCATTCCCTTCATACCTGGCATACCTTCAGGACCAGGTGGGCCCGGATAACCAGGTGTTCCCTGTCCGCCCTCGAATCCCCTTTCACCAGACACCCCCCTGTCGCCCTTCTCCCCCTTGTCTCCTAGCGCCCCCCTAGACCCGGGTGGGCCCCGCAGAAGGTACGACGTTCCACTCACTGTTGTGTAAGCTGCTTCACCAGGCGGGCCCGGTGTGCCGGGATCGCCCTTCTGTCCTTTCTCTCCAAGTAAGCCGCTCTCGCCCGGCAGACCGCGCATCATAGCTGCTGGAGCCCTGGCAGGCTCACCTTTCTCCCCCTTCTCCCCTGCCGCACCCGTCTGGCCGGGTAACCCGGGAAGACCGGTCTCGCCTTGCCCTCCTTTCTCGCCCTTTTCTCCGGGTACCCCTGTGGAGCCGTTCTTCCCCTCGTCGCCCTTTTCGCCCTTCTGCCCAGGCACGCCCGCCCCTGGTGGGCCCGGGATGCCAGGTGGCCCACGCGTGCCGTTTGCTCCAGGTGTGCCTTCTTCTCCCTTTTCTCCAGGTGGTCCTCTCGAGCCAGGTGGCCCAGGTGTACGAAGAGATGACGTTCCGTTGCCGTCTACTGTTTCCCCGGGTTCTCCCTTCTCTCCCTTCACTCCAGGTGAGCCCACACCTGGCGGGCCCTGCACACCTGCCTCTCCCTGCGCACCTGTCTGTCCAGGGTCACCTTTGCTTCCATTCACGCCAGGTCTACCCGGAAGTCCCATCCATCCCGGAGCCCCTTTCTCACCTGGCGGGCCCTTTGCTCCGGGAAACCCCCTCACACCTGGCTCACCTGGAACACCTGGAGCACCTTTTCGACCAGGTGGTCCATGTACACCTTTCGCTCCTTGCTGTCCCCTCTCACCTGGAGGGCCGACTACACCTGGCTTCCCTTCATCACCTGGGATGCCGGTAGGACCCACCAGTCCCGTGATGCCGCGGTCGCCCTTCTCTCCCTTCAAGCCAATATGCCCTATAGGTCCGGGCTCCCCTAAAACAAACATACAAACAGGATGAGGAAATCTGTCTGATATTGACATTTGCTGAAATTTCTTTTCGCCATATTGTTTCACACTTGAAACAAGCTATGTGAGGCGTGCCTTTCTTTTTTTTTGGAACCACCCATAATTTCTAGAACCAGCATACGATTCGAAACAAGCAACTAATAACATTATTACACGAAAGCCACCTTACAGTCGGCTATGGCACACCGCCTTGTTTCGGTCCCTTTGAGGTGCCCCTGAGTGTATAGCTTTGTGCACGGGTATTTCAGTACTCTCCAAGCAGAGTTTTTTTCTCACCCAACCCAGTGAGAAAAAATTCAAGTGCAAAAAAAAAAAACCCGATAAATTTAAAAAGCCTAAAACCTCTGCAAACCTCTGCTTGGAGAGTAGCATTTCAATACCAAGGCAGTGTCCTCAGATGCCCCCTGCGCACCACGACTGCGCCAGTGCCTGTCTGCCCCCGTGAACCTCTATCAAACAACTGTTAACCTGCTGAATAAATATACATCTCTTTATGGTGTCACAAGTCGCGACCACTGCTCTCACTTGTAGTCTGGAGTACGTAATTCAGACTTTTAAAGTGACAGTAACCCCGAAACATCAACCCTATACGTATACATTGCAGAGCTCATATACATGTATCTTAACATTCTTATCGCACACGATTCAGGTCACCCAATAACCTTAATCCCTAAATCCCGCTTTACAATGTAGTCTTTAAGATAAGACCATGTTGATTTGATTATATGGATGACATCCTCTGGGAACCCCAAAACTAATGCGAGCGTGCGAATAAAAAAGTTTGGCCAAAAAGGTACATTCATTATAAAATCTACGTGATCATGAAGGTTGAACAAATGAATAAACGCACAGAGTATGGTATGATATTTTATAATAGACTCATAATGTTTATTTCTTTACATTTTCACCTTTTCCTTTGGAATTGATTTTAGCATTCTACGACATTATTATCGTTTTCCAATATTTTCGCAAATTAGGGCATATATTTGCTCAGTTGCAGCAGATTTGTACGATTCGCATTATTTTTTTGGAAGCGGATGAAAATTTATGCACGTGTAAATGTCATCCAAATAATCAAATCAACATGGTCTTATATCCTGGGACATTTGTGTCCCGACTGTTTTGACACCGCGGCACAGATATGTACTCCGCACGGGCCTAGGAACCACGGTCTCCAGTTTCTGATAGTAAATCACTTGTAATCAAACTAAGCGGAAAAGCAGAAGCGGACTCATGTGTGTCAGTAGATATAACTCCAAGCAGATGTAAGTATCCACTGCAGTCTCAGAGTCTTATGCGTATTTTTTACACATTTTAGTTCGCATCGATTTTTTTTCGTGTGAAATGCACTTCATATAACATATAGCGAAATATCTCTTCGATCGTATGCAAGATAAGTACCATAGTTTTAGATATTTATTAGATAGCAAAGAAAACTCGACAAACTATGTATTATAAAATCCGTATGCTCTTGCGCCTACACTGAATGTCTTCAGAAGCTGAAGCTGTACATATTAGTACGCTATATTATCCGACAGACAAAGTATACTATAAAGCATACCAGACTTGTATCGGTTTTTGTTATCACCATGACCTGTATCTAACTTGTCAAGTTATAAATGTACAATGAATGGTCTTCTAAATATTTCTGAACAGACATACCAACTGTGGCAAAAACAGGCGGAAGACAGTCAGACGGAGTCGGATCTGCTTACAAATTCTAAGAAAGACCACAACACCATGCTGATTTGATTATATGGATGACATCTGCGTACGCATGAATTTTCTTCCGTTTCCCAAGAAAAGTTTTAACCATACTGTAAATCGTACAAACCAGCTGTAAAAGGAGCAGGTATAGGCCTCTAAATAAAAGAATATTGGAAAATGATACTAAAGTCGTGGAATGCCAATTTAATCAATCCCAAAGACGAAAATTTAAAGAAATGAAAGTGAAGAGTCCATTATTGGCCATACCATACTCATTTCTTCAACCTCCATGACAACGTAGATTTCATACCGAAGGCAGCCCTTTTTTGCCAAACTTTTTTTTTTATTCGCACACTCGCATCAGTTTTGCTGTTCCCCAAGTGTGTCATCCTTACAAATTCAACATGGCCTAAATAAAGAAACTAAGACATTTGGATGAGAAAATGGCTGTTCCTTACCTCTTAGTCCCATATCTCCCTTCTGACCTGGTGAGGCCACCACAGTGATGTTGATACAGGGTTTCGAACAAGCCTCCTCCTCCTCTGTTGCATTGGGCAATGCCAGAATAACGCAGCCGTTTACGAGAAGATAAAGTATGGTAACGAGTTGTATCGTTATTAGCCCAGCTCGCCTGGCCATTTTGACGAGCAGAGCGGGGTGCGTTAGACGCTCAAGACCTCCTTGGGAAGAAAAACATTTTGCCCCGACCACATTAAACTTTTCCCAGCGGCGAGCGCTCTGTCTGGCACGCATTCGTTTGTATCAGAAGGGACTCCTTCTGTGGAGAGCCGAGGCCATAAAAACTGTCTTTGGTTTCAAGATTGCAACCAGATGGACGTGAACTTGAGGGGAAAAACACATCAATTTTGTTCCGGTATTGGGCAAGTTGTCATCACTACACCAGACAGCAGGCCGGGGGACAATGAACCCGTGTGGATAAATCTTAACAATAGATCATCCTCAATACTCGTAAATAATTTCATCAGGTCGGTAAATTATTGAATCCTTGTCCTGCTGGCAATTTTTACACAATATTTTCAAATAATTTCATGTCTTAATCAGGTTACAGACCCTTGACTTTTTTTGCCTTGCGACGGTGGTGTAGTTACTTCCGGATTCGTTGCGTTTCGCTGCGGTGTGATGCGTTGCACGAGAAACACCCCCAAATCGCACATATACAGGGCACTATACAGATGGTACTGTATGTACAACCCATATATATATGGGCCCCGCAGGACAAGGGTTAATTAATTAATTAAAATTCTTTCATTCACAACCATTCGTTTTACATGGCATGAATTTAAGGGGATAAGCGTATTATCAATACAACATTTGACACATCTAAGTGGAATTAAACCCATTAACTATGGTTCAGAAAAAAATTGACTCATGTTGTAGGATAGAGAAAGTTTTATTTACAATATGTCGAATTATGAATAACACTCTACTTTTTACAATAACCCACCACGTGACATTACAACCCGTGACCGTGAGCTGGTGTGTTACGCCGAAAGGCGGTTATACCGGCTATACAGATACAGATACAGACCGACCACAGAAGGCACTAAGCCAAGAGGCGCGTCACATTCTAAGCGTAGGAATATAACAGAAAGTAATAAAACCCAAAAGCAATTTTTACCAACAACACATACATCGCTTCCTACACTTTAAAGACATTCTAGTATCTAATGTGATTCCGGAGTAGGTTATAAGAAGCATGAACTCAAACTTGAACTCTCAATCAATCAATCAATCAATCAATCAATCAATCAATCAATCAATCAATCAATCAATCAATCAATCAACCAATCAATCAATCAATCAATCAACAATGGCTTATTGATTAATCATTAACATTGCAGCTGAAAGCTGAATTGCGTTCAAAGATGTACATCGTTAAAAACGTTCACGGCTACAGTCTTAAAATGGAATTGCGGCAGTTGAACTGCATCTGACATTAAAAATATGTGCACGTTACAAAACCGCATATACATTTCGCATATTCAAATGCGTATTTTGCTTATTCATATTTCTTTTACATGTTCATATACATATTTTCTTTGCTCGCATGATCCAATCTTCCAATCTATTCATCGGACTAAACATGTTTTCTCAACCTATGCGTTTTGTAGGCAAGAAAACAGACCAGTGCAGTAGCAATTGATCATAACAATAATGTCTGACATGTTGGTCGATTTAGCACATACATCTACAGGCTCAACATCGAGCCACCGTCAGTGGTCGCCTCCGTGTCGTATTCGTACACAGGCCTGACGTCTGAATCTATCTCCTCCTCACTATCTCCTCGTGACTCATAGTCAAAACCCGGCCTAGACTGTACGTCATTAGGGTGGACTTTGAGGGACTCTGCCCAAGCTTTGGGGGAGTCAGTCCAGGGTTTGGGGGAGTCAGTCCAAGTTTTAGGGGAGCCAGTCAAACCTTTGGAAGATTCAGTACAAGTTTTGGAGGAGTCAGTCCAAGCTTTGGGAGAGTCAGGCCAAGATTTGAAGGAGCTCTGTCCATCGTCTTGTGACCCACTGATTCCGCTGTCACGATCACTCCTGCATTCCGGATGGATCTTGCTCCTCCTTTTCTTCTTCCGTCTCTTCTCTTTTTCGGGCCCGAGAGTACGTTGAGGAGCGTTCATGTCTCGCTGTAGCGGCGGGAGTGTTCCTCCGCGAGGAACCGACGGTGTCGTCTCCTCCTGTCCCGGTCGTGCAGGAGTTAGCCCGTCTACTGGATGCTGCAGGTGCCTGAAGTGACATGTAGTATGTAGAAAAGTTAAAGTGTTCTCCAGTACACCACAAACTAAAGCTATTCAAATCATGTGTAGAGCCAATTCTGTTATATGGCTCTGATTCATGGACTCTAACCAAAGCCCTGTCCAAGAAACTGGATGGTAACTCCACGCGCTGTTCCGGGTCGCTCTTAACTTTCTCTGGCAGAGCCGCTTTATTTAAAAAAAAACTCTAAAATGGTCTACCCCCGATCACTAAAAGACCATTCAGAACCAAAGACTGGCTCTTGCTGGCCATGCAGACCGCAAAGTGGAGATGGCCGATGAAGTCCTGAAGTACGGTACTCGGACTCAAATACAAGTGACATGTTAAATGATCTTAACTCTTACCAACTGTCGCACGAGTTGATTGGTATAATCTCAGATTGTTATCACTATGGTTAGCTTCACTTATGATATCTTTACTTTTGTGATGTTTTTAATCCAATTCTAAAATCAAGAACTATTTGTTATGCTGCAAAACTCTTTCACCAAACGGTCAGTAAAACTACGTAAGCCCTGTACGTGAAATGATCAAGATAAAATGTTTTGTTTGAAGTACTAGTCAAAATACCTGTTTATTTTAGCGCCAGCCACTGGTAAGGGTTGCCGTGCACGTCTATTAGAGGGAGGCGACGTTGTTCGTTCGTTGATTTCATGGTACACCGGTTCCGTGTCGTTCACTGGCGTTGCTGCTGCATTTCTGTCCAAAACCTAATTGAAAACGATATTTGCATTCTCTAAAGTATGTAGGCAACCATGGTTTAACTCTGCAGTTTGATTACATCTGCTGTATAATCCCAATCAATATAGATGAAGACACACGGATGTCATACATGTAAAGCATGAAAGAATTATAAATAATCTTTGTAGAATATACACATGTATATATATAGAGAAAGGTAGGTAGGTAGGTAGGTAGGTAGGTAGGTAGGTAGGTAGGTAGGTAGGTAGTTAGGTAGGTGGGTAGGTAGGTAGGTAGGTAGTTAGGTAGGTAGGTAGGTAGGTAGATAGGTAGTTAGGTAGGTAGGTAGGTAGGTAGGTAGGTAGGTAGGTATAGATATGTACTAAAATAGCACATACCTGGTGCAGACGTGCAGGAAGCTGTGTCGGTATCAACACACCTCCGTTCTGTTCCCTGGGTGTTTCAAAATTTGGTAAGCGACATTGTAAAGCAGGTATATCTATCCAAAAGGAAAATACATTCTTCTCTGACACTTTGATACGATAATGATTCACGACTCACCCTTTGTTCTTTTTGGGGTCTGCAAGAATCTCCGGGCGGATACTGGCGGTTGACTTGGCCCTCTAAAAGGTAAAATGAGACAATATTACTATGTCACTGCATTTTGTATTGCCTAGAAATACATATCTTTTTCTATAAATTCATTGACATGTCGTTAAAAGTCAACTACAGATACTGCGCATTATCGACTTTTCAGCCCAAAATGTATAAAATGTTGGTCTCTCACCTCAGCACGTATGGTCTTCAGGCAGTTTACACGGTTCCTTTGCGGAGAAAACAAACGGCATTTTACAACAAGCACGAAAATTGGTAAAAGCTAGACATTACCTGTCAAAATAGATAACGTTCACTGATTAATTAGCCATGTAGGCTGGTAAGAAGCGGGCTCATCAATAAATTTTATGAGTCATTTCATGAAAGCGTCAGAAACAGGTAGACAAAAGGCGATCCAATCTGCCCACGTTTTGACTCTTGAAAATGGCAAATAAAGTAAGAAACGGTAAAGTCTTAATTGCCCTTTTGCTCACCGTATCATACTTTGAATGAGTTATATGAGTAACAACTGTATAATAAAGGTCACCAGCATGGAGACCGTGGAAAATTTGGCAATGGATGGCCCACTGAATGCTTACCTCAAGAGAAGAGTGGTCAACAAGACGACCAAACATGTGAGAATACCAGTGACGATCTGCAGGGCTAGGATCACCGTTCCCTTATCAGGCGGCGCGACTGGGCATTCTGTCGACATAGTAACAGATAACTCATTGTAGTAAATAGTGTGTTAAGGTCTCGGTATCTGACGGGAATTATACAAGAATTAGAGTTCCACATTGGGAAAATCACTTTCTGAAGTCCAGTTTCTTTTTGTGTTCACTTCTGAATTCAGATGCACAATGACATCTAATTAATAAGCAAGATTTAACATGACCAAAAAAACAGAGCAGTACTACTTAAATCTCCTGCCAATCTTTCCCCATTTACGTGATGTCAACTTACTACTACCACTATGTCCGGAACGGATGCACAGACTCACAGCTCAGCTACCCAAAATTATACTTCCGTACCCAGAAGTAATAAGATATCTCACCCGGCATTGGTGTAGTCGACAGCTCGTCTGGTTCCTTTATGATCAAAGACGCGTTGCTGGGAATAGACATAATTAGCAGTACGTGAATATCGCTGTCGATGTTCAATGTACAACAAATTTCAGTCAAATGGAAAAGACGAATAAAAATTTTATTCAAGATTTCAAAATCCAAAAGCCGGGTAATACGCTTTTTGAAACATTTGAACCATGGCTAATGTCACACGATCATTAAACGTTGCCAATGCGAAGACATTGATTAAATGTCATCATTATACTCAATCTAATCGCGTTTTAATTCATGGTTGATTCAGTTACAACGACACGTACACTGTAAGTTGCCTCTGTAACAAGAGATGAAACTTAATTGAACGTTGGACAAGCAACATTCTTAGAATCGCAATCAACCATCTCAAATTGTATACTATTTCAAGATTTTATTGAGTCGGTTGCTATGAAGCTTCAATAATCTCACACAAAAGGTTTCGGTTTTTAAATGTAAGCCAAATAGTTGCAGAAATTCTGATTAGTAATGACGCTGGTAAGTTTGAACTTTAACCTACAAGACAATGTCTATAATTAGCCACAAGGTACTTGATTATGTCAGTGAATGAATGATTGAATGTTTACCTCCGTTTTTGTGGATTGCCTCGGTCCACTGCATAGATGGTACAATACCTGTTGGATTCTTCTTCTCCCAGTGTATTATCTATTAAGATAGTACCGTTCCACGGGTCGATGGTCAGCACGTACTGAGAAAAATAAACACTATAGTGTAGATGTTGTTGACTTAAACATAAATCATTACGTATCATGTATATGGCAACAATTATAAACATTGACATATTGTAAAAGCGAATGCTGTCTCTATTCCAATGGAAACATTGCAGCGCGTATGCTGCAATCAGCGTGATCTTGAAATGACCCTACACGACACATTTACTTAAGCTTCAATAGGTGTTGGAATTTTCATCTGAATCATGATGCGCAGAGATTTTGTATTAAGACATTAATAGAGTTATTATTAGATATCATTAGATGTTTAGAAGTTAAAACTGTTGTTCTAACCCAAAATAGAAATGTTCTCAGTTAGAGCTTTTGACCAGTCACTCTGGTCTACCTCAGTACACTGACCCAGTGAGGCTTGTCACGTGGCTTTTCTGAAGTGTGACGTCAACTCTGGGATTACTGTACCAGATACCTTTGTCCCAGTGTTGACGTGACCAATTGTACTTGGTGCATATCCTTTTAATGAGGAAGACGAGAGCGTCTGATACGTTCTAAGTGAGAACTTTGTGTTAACTTTAAAACAGAAGTTTGAAGTATTAACTATAATCATACAGAAGTTGAATCATTAGATATTGAGGTTCTTCACCAAACTTACCCAGAATGCTTGGCATGTCCGGTCTTCAAAGGAATACACGATCTCCCCATCGGAACCAGAGTCATCATCTGTTGCTTTGACCGACACGTTTTCAAAAATGTGTCCTCTTGGAAGCAGGCTGTCATTAACATGGAGCTCGTAATGATCTGAGTGGAGTAAAATAAAACTTGTCCGCATGAATTTTCAGTTCATTTTCAGTTGGATTACCGATGGCAGAAAATTGCAGTCAATTCAGGTAATGTTTAGTTTATAAATGGTTACATATTTTAGTGGTAGTGTATAAAAGTCAAGTCCGGTAATGTAAACTTAACAAAGGTTAACAATACAAAGCGAATTATCAAAGGGACACAAACCTTTAGTGAATGTAGGTGCGTGCCGGTTCGTTGACATTACATTAACTTTAACTTTGATTTTGTGTATTTCCAACTCGTTGACGTCGCCTTCGAAGTCCACTGAGTTCTCCACAAAGACGTAAAATAGCTTACGGAAAGGAAACAAAAGCCAGAATTAATAGTGCGTAGATATTCGTATTAGCGTCTTGGTCATATGATTAAATTTCTACGCACATACATAATCATGTAGAGCTGTACGTGTGTGTGTTTGTTCTTAATCATGAACAGTGGTACCCAACAATTAAGAACCTTTAATGTCTAATGAACATCAAGATATGACTTACATAACTTGTTACATCCAGTGCTCCGTTGAGGGTTATGGCTCCACTTGCTGGATGTACAAGAAACAGCCCAATAACGCTCTTCCAATCCTGACCTATTGCTGCTAGAATTCCATTCTGCTCATCTAGGCGAAATCGCAAGATGGCGTTCTCACCGATGTCCCGATCCGATGCAGTAACATTCTTTACGATGGTTCCGAGTGGCGTGTCCTTTAATAAAAATACAGCAAGGAATGTCACTTTTAGCTAGATTGAGCTTGCGTTGTCACACGTACTTGTGTGATATCCAATGATCAAATCGTTCTGTATAGGAAACAGCAAGAAATTACATAATATATGCTAATGACACAGAGAAAATAAAAACGCTCAGATTGAAACTGGCTGCACACTGCGTCAGGTATTCTGACATGATTATAGCATCCATCCTTGTCCTAACCCCAAACGGTCAAAGAAGTCGAGTAAGACCTACGATTAAATTCATGGAGAACCTTAAATCATATCAGACACCAGCCAAATAGAAGTGAAGGAAATCTAGTCTCTGATAGAGTGGAAGACAGTGCTTTCAAGTTAGGTTCGAGCGGGAGGTCGACCAACGTAAAGTAAGTATACAATGAATCGATATATCAGTGCACACTAACCTGAGGTATGGATAGCTCAATGTCGTCAGAATCTGGCACGGGTACGTTGTCATTGATGTCCAGAATGGTAATGTTAACTGTTGCAGAAACGTTGGCATATTTTCGCGGAGTTCCCATGTCGTAGGCACTCACGATAACATAGACATGGTCGTTGTCCGGCTCTCTGTCCAGTTCGGGAACGTTCACGATAAGTTGTCCTTCTGATGTCACGTTGAATAAACCTGATAGTGAATACACAAAACAACTTGAAAGGTACAACAGTTTAACACAATTTACTCGGAACAGTACAATAATCTATTCTTCTGTCAATATTTTTCATGCTTCCAACGATATAGATTTTATATTTTAGTTTAAAGCTATGGGACTGAGTGAGTAAGTGAGTGAGTGAGTGAGTGAGTGAGTGAGTGAGTGAGTGAGTGAGGCTCCATTCTAAATGGAAAAGGTGAAATCAACTTTCAGAGTAGTATCCCTCCCATTAAAGTAGCAATACTAAAAAAAATACTGAATAGAAATGGATGATACCTTCGTGTGATGTATCAGTGATTTCCAGTTTGACCACACCATTTCGTCCCTCGTCCGAGTCTGTTGCATTGAGCAGAACCCCTTCAACGTCTTCACCCCATTCTAAACGTTCTCTCACAGTCACATTGAAGAAAGTGGTTTCAAATTCAGGCCAGAAGTAGTTCACTGCTGTTATGTTGATGGCGATCTGAAAAAAATACGACAAATATTTAATCAGTAAAGTTACTTCTTTTCTTGATAAGACTTTGAAACGCATTGACTGAAATTGAAATTGAAATGCAGTATTTACCAGTCCTAAGCGCATATGCCATAGGCATCCCATACCACATTTCGGATCATAACACACACAGGGGCTATGAATACACATTTTGGTGTGTAGATGCCTCCAAATCCAACAATATATGGTTTTGAAATAAAAAAAAAAACTTAATGTGATTATTTTAAAAGCCTATAGAAAATATATGATAAAAAGGCCAGGGGTATTTATTTGCCAGTCTTAGCGACTTTTAAAGTTTGCAACAAACAATTCACTAATTCACTATTGACCTTTATTGTTGTATTTAGTGAAGGAACTCCATCATCGTCAGCAGTAACCTCGATACTGCAGGAGTAAACTTCTTCACGCCGGTCAATAGAGTCCAGTCTTTGGTTCACGCTGATTTCACCACTTGTTCCGTCGATAGAGAAAAGCTCACGACAGCTACCTCCTGTAAAAGTGACAAATTCAAAGTTTCGTTTATTTTCTCCTTTTTAGACAATTGGTTGATATATATTTTTCGTTGTCCTGAATACAACTAGAAGAAATATAGAGTAAAAAGGAAAATGTGTAGTTAGTTCTCCGTACGGTCTAAATTGAGTGAATTTCTGGGATGATTTCAGCCAGCAGTATCAAAATAAAAGCTATGTCGACATGTCTTTGCAGGCAATTGGTTCCATTGTAGCCTGCTTGAAAACTCTACGGCATTTAATAGACTCGTGCGACGACATTACAATATACGGCAATATGACCGTCGTCCAATATTTTTGTCGGAAAACTTTGACACAAATAACCACAAGTATCTAAGGCATGCTTTTGGAAAGAATATCAACTAGATTTTGAACGGCACATGCATGACTGATTCAGGAATGACCGGTAGTTTATGGTCGTACGACAAAGTTGAACGCCCTGTTACCTGTCAATCTGTAGGAAACATCATTGCCGTCCCTGTCCTCAGCAGACACCTGAAACACGCTGGTCCCCGTCTTAGTATCTTCCGGAATTGTTACAGTCTCATGTTGAAGGGTTGTAAAGTGAGGCGGGTTGTCGTTGACGTCGTTGACGGTAATGTTGACCGTTGCGATGTTGCTCAGATGAGGAGCGTCAGGATTGTACGCTTCAACCAAGAATGAGTAGACGTCTTTCGTCTCCCTGTCCAGCTTTCTAGAAGTAAAGATACTACCTCCAGCTGGATAGAAAGGAATGACATGAAGAAACTGAAGCTTGTCATTTGATATTTGACTTCATATGTATATACAAAAGCAACATTTATTACACCTACAAATGATAAATAAGAGAAACCAATCATACAACAAACACAAGTAAAAAGTGCAGGGTCATATTTACCTCCGACATGAAAGCTTCTTTCACTGATGATACGATACTCTACGTCTGCATTTGACCCAAGATCTCTATCTTCGGCAGAAACTTGAAGTACCTGCGAAAAAGAAGTATTAGGAACAAGCATTAGGGGTCAGAATTAAGGGGTGTAATTAAGCAGCTAAATCATGCTTATCGTAGCTTTCCTACAAGTCAGGCTCCGAGAAGCTTGATCACCAACTCTGCAACGTCAGCAGAATTAAAGACATTCTTACTCTGTTGTATGAGTAATAATGAACCATATCAGAATTGGAACTGTTAGTTCCATGATGTTTAGAGTGTAATAAATGGTGTCAATGGGGACACTGAATCATGAGCTCTAAATGAGCCAATATCTATAGATGAAAAAGATGCAAAGTTCCTATTCCTCGTTTGGAAAATCAATGTCCCGGTTTATAGGCTAACATTCAATGAAAAGGGACTCCATAGATGTCAAATTTCTAGTCGCAAGACATTGGTAGGAACCAATTAGAAGGAATGTCCAAAGCCTTAAGCAAGTAGCTCACTAACGCCTATTATATCCAGCATTAGATTTGCAGCTAAATCTTATACATAAGTACAGCTAGGCCACTCACCATAATGCCACCCTCTTGCTCTTCATCTATGTAGCCGACGTATGTGTTTTCCAAGAACACAGGTGGCTCATCATTTATGTCGGTAACTTTAATTGTCACATTTTTGGTTGAACTTAGAGATGGGATTCCTTTGTCCGTGGCCTGAAATAATGGGAAAATAGCTTAGGAAAGCTCAGACATCGTCACTTATTGCCTGCACTACAATAATAGAGATGGAAACAATCATTTTGGTACTTTGAATTTTATATTTTACTTAGCACGCCTATAGTTACCAAAACAATCATTCATAACGTTCTAAACTTGTTATTTATCTCATAATGTTAGAAGCATTACAGATAGAAGCATATGCTATATATAGATGCATTCATAAATTTACATCGAAAAGCTTACTTTAAAAGACATTATGTATTACATACCAGGCGTTGAAAGAATCTGCTACAAGCTATATATCTGACCTGAATTGTAAGGATGATCTCGTCGTTGTTTAAGCTCTCTCTGTCAAGCGGTTTCTTCACATGGACAGAGCCGGAGGTGATGTTTATACCAAATGAGTTATCTGGAAGAAAATATAGTATAGAAAGATTTCACTTATGTAAGGAAACAAGAGGTTTTCGTTTTAGGACCCGCGCCAAATTTCATGCCATAATTTCTGAATGGCTTAACCTAGAACTACCATGTACCAACCTCGATTACTTTTCTTAAAATTCAAAATGAAAATAAGTTAAGTTTATCTTGTTTTGTGTTGTCGGGTTTTGACAGGTATCTGACTATGACAAGCAGTTTACAGGTGATATTCAATATGTCAGTCTCGTTTTTGCCAATATTGGATGAGCAATATTCAGTAGTTTAAGTCTAAACGATCCCGCGATCGGCCGGTCAGCGACGGGCGATGCACGAACTTGCCGATGATTCGATGTTTTCGTAAACTCAGCCAGTCATAAAAACTCAACCACTACAAAATATGATTCTTGAACTATTTTTTGAGTGGGCTATTACTACCTGTCCACATAATTTGTTGATATAGATACAGTAAAGACAGCCGTTCTTGGTGCCCCATATAGCACCCTATGACTGCCGTCATGGTGTGTTCCCTGTGCACGTCAAAGCCACGTTATAGCGTGTCACTCAGCACGCTTACATACCTGCTAAACGATGTAGTTTTCTGGTTTTCTTTCCCAGGATTAAATCTCATGATCAGTGAATTACCTTTCATCTGTCGAGTGTCTTTTATTATTGTAACACACTGCCTAAAACGTTACAGCAATAGTACACATATACGTACCAGCATTGCCATCGATGATGTGATATTCCACAGTGCCATTCAACCCGGCGTCTCTGTCCGCAGCAGACACAGTTCCCACCGTGCTACCGACACTGTCGTCTCCCTCTGCCACCTCGAAAATCACTCCTCCCTCCGAGAACACTGGAGGCTCATCATTCACATCCAACACGTTTACTACAACCTAGTGAGAGAAAAAAGTCAGAAAATTAGTTGTAACGCTTTGTAGTGCATGGAAAATAGGATTTATAGCTATGACAATAAATACCAGATTAGACTGGTGATTGTTACTTTTGGGATTTTTAACTACATTTAACTACTGTTTTTCGTTTATCTCTGTGTGTGTGTGTGTGTGTGTGTGTGTGTGTGTTAGCATAACTTAAGAAGGACTTAGAAAGACATAGATCAAGGCCAAATTTGGGACTCCTGGTGGCTGGCCTTGGTACTGCTGCAGACCATCTGTTGTTGTTTTTTACCTCTTTTAATTAAAAAATTTGACGACTCCAGTTTCCTCAGCAATGCTGAAGCGTGACTGGGTATCTTTTTTTTATATTTACAAGCTGCTTAACACAACAATTGAACTCTCCCACTACTACATGTATAAGGAATGAACATGTATGATATTACTTGCCTTTATCAAGGAAGTAGGGGCGTATACTTAATTTAACTTAAATGTCGAATGACGTCCTTACCGGTGCACTTGCTTGGCGTCCTGACGTGTCTTTCGCCACAATCACGAGAACATGCCGTTCTGACGTCTCCCTGTCTAACAGCGAAGTTCCTCTATATGATCTAGTGTGAATTACGCCCTATGAAAAGAAGAAGAGCAGATAAAAAACCACCTATCTAATGCAATGCTGTTGGTATAGTCAATGAATTTCTTGTATAGCCTTCTTCGCAGACTTGTGCGGCGACGGCATTATTATTTTCGGGGAGCTGCTCGAGTTATGCCGCGGAGGGAGTTTTGCCGGGAGCTTTTCGTTAGTTTTTGGGAATCATTTAGAAAAAGTGTGTTTATTGTTTAGAAAACACCATACCAAAGACAGTTTAATTCGAATGCAAAGGCATTAAGCTCTTCAATGAAAGGTGTTGAGTCTGCCATTCCAGAGGACAAACATAAATTCGAAACATTTCACCAACATGTAAAATGCATAGAATACATCTGGCATATATCTAATATACAACTACGACAGTAACTTCTTTAACAGCAGCATGTCCATACCTGTTCATCCACTTTAAACAGAGGACTCTCCGGTAGAATGGCGTACGTGAGCCCTTCCTCGGCTATGGAGACGTTCAGTATTGGGACATCCCCCGAAATGTTCTCGGTAACATCGATAGTGTAGGTGTCGTTCTTGAAGTTTAGCGGGTCCAGCGTCACTCCGGTTTCTGGCTCGACTATTTGTACAACTAACGTGAAGTTGGAGGACATTTTCTTCTCCCCGTTATCTGTTGCAGTGACTACAGATGTTACCTCATTGACGTTTTCAAGCTGATGATTCAGTTTGACGATGCCGGTGTCCTCATCGATGCTGAAACTTTCGCGTGTTGAATTTATGGCGAATGTTACTTTCCCGTTGTTTCCACTATCGATGTCCAAGGCCTGTACTACTGTTACTATAGACCCCTCCGGTGCTGTAGCAAGCAGGCTATAATTATGATTTATATCAGAGATAATTGGCCGGTTATCATTTGCGTCTGTGATGTCGATTTGCAGGATACTCGTCTTCCCTGTCAATGCGGGGATTCCCGTGTCTTGTGCTTCTACTTCAAACTCAAAATATGTCTGTCCTTCTTCGTAATCCAGAGTTTCATTGACAACTACTGCGCCGTTAAAGCTATCAACATAAAAGGGTCCGACCCCATTTAGAATTTTATATCTTATGTCGGAATTCTGCTCAGTTATGTCTGCATCAGTAGCCGATAAATTTCCGATCGTTCCTCCAACTTCAATGTCTTCACTTACGGAAAACTTGTACACGCTCTGTAAGAATACCGGAGCATTGTCGTTAAAGTCCAAGATGTTTATTGTCACTGTCTGCGTCCCAGTTTGAGGCGGGCTTCCGAGATCGTGAGCTGATATGTTAAGTGTGAATCTGTTCGTAGTTTCCGCATCCAAGTGACCACTGGTTACTTCAAGTTCACCTGTTGTTGGATGGACATTGAACAAACGGTCTCCGCCTTCTAATGTATAGACTATTTCCGCGTTGGTTCCTTGATCGGCATCTGTTGCCGACAATGTGGTTATAAGAAACCCTCCGCTTACATGTTCAGATATGTTGTACTCATTGACAGTGGACTCTAGGATTGGCTCGTTGTCATTTATGTCGTCAATGTTAATGGTAACCGTTGCCGTTCCAGTTCGGCTTCCGGCTCCTCCACCTCTATCTGTTGCGGTAACTACGAAGTTGTACTGCGCTCGTGATTCCCTGTCAAAGGCAGCATCAAAGGAAACATAGATCGCTGCTGTCTGTGGATCTATTGAAAACATCCCGGTGGCGGTGTTGTGAGATGACTGAATGTCGTACGTGACGGTGCCATTGATGCCAAAGTCCGCATCTGTCGCCTGGGGAACCTGGTTGTTAGGCTGTATGGGTAGATTGTTGACATGATGAGAAAAATGAATATTTTGTGAATTTTGCATTTTTGTACGTGTACGGTTTTAAATGAAAGCATTTTGTGAAATTTGCATATTTTTGTGCTTTGGAATGAAAACGGCTTGTGAAATTTGCAAATTTGTGTGCTTTTGTATGAAAACGCTTGGTAATGTTGTGTGCTTTTGAATAAACACGGCTTATGAAATCTGCATATGAGTGTGTAAATGAAACCATGGGGTAGATATATCTATATATCTATATAAGGCAATAAAAAGACAGTGTACATGTATGTAATACAGTGGTCTACAGTACTTACGAATAGGACTGCAGCATCGGCCTCCGCGTTTTCGGCAATATGTCCCACGTACGTCTGGGAGCTGAATACAGGCGTGTTGTCGTTGATGTCAGTCACATTGATGGCAACAGAGATCTGTATAGTCAAGGAAACAATTACACATCCAATGTAAAATCCATTAAGTGAAAATATCAACGCAGAATCAATTATTTGAGAAGTGGATCTGCTTGCATTGATGACATTTGGTACTTCATGGTAAATTAGACCATCAACGTCGGCCGTATTTTCCACAAGGGCTTAGTTGTATACTGTGTAGCTATGCATGATACATCTGCTTATCATATACTGAAAAGCGAGGAAGACATCTATATAGATAGATAGATAGATCAAGTCAAGTCACTGAATCGAAGTTGAAAAATGATGATTTTGACTGTCTCCAAATTAACAGAATCCGATCAGGATCACTATCGGCAGAGACTCTATCGATAATATTGCCGATTCTACCATATCGGCGTTCCTACTCTGGGAAATGTTGCAAGATTAGCCCGCTCAAAAACAGCCACTACTTTAAACATCGCCATTTAAACTTGCTTTTATAAAAAAAATCAATTTCAAATTTTAAAGCTTATGCAACTTAAGGTGTTATGTGATTGAAGTTAAGAAAAATGTGAACTGTTATCACATACCAGCCTTCCGTCGCAGGACCCCTCTTCGTAGGCCACCACCGTGAAGGTGTACCTTCCCTGGAAAGTGTTGGACTCCCTGTCGATGTCCGCAGCAGTCCTCAAGATGCCCTGTTGCAAGAAAAAACCGTCAGATCTTCATGTTTCGTAAACGTAACAAAATGAACATAAAATATTGTGTGATTTAAACTTAACTCAGTGTATGATTTGGTTGTTTGTTTATCTGTTTATTATTGAGAGGACGTCTCTAACCGAAGCTAGGTATAATCATTTCAACCCAAGTTGAGTGAAGAAATGTTAAAGAGCGTGTAAAGAGCATTTCCCAAGGGCACAATATTGGGCCCTATCAGGGATTCGAACCCAGAACCTTCAGATATAAAGTTTCAAAATTAAATCCCATAGAATTAAGTTGATATCCAGTAACTGTAAATCTTACCGTAGTATTGCCAAGAGAAAATTGCTGCGCCTGTCCTGATCCATCATCCTGTAATATGAACCTGTAGTTTCTGGGTGATTCTTCGGGGTCTTCCTCTTGCAGCTTGTCGGAGAAATTAGCCACGATAGTGCCTACGGGTATGTTTTCCTCTATACTTTCAACCACTGCAATCTGGATGAGACTGGACGAAACGATAGTCAGATCTACAGCTCTATGTGCATCGGTCGACCTTTGGACCGATCCAAGGTCTCTAGCCCGTACAGATATTTCTACCAGAAGGTCACTGGGCAAAGATTCAGTATCCTTCACACGGATGATACCATCAGTGGCAGTGATTTGAAAAGCATCGTTGTAAGACATTAACTCGTACTCAACCATGCCGTTTGTACCGTCATCTTCATCCGTTGCCTTGACAACTGCCACGATCGTGAGCGCTGGGGCGTCTGAAGAGATGATACCCCAGACAGGAGTGTTTTGGAAGATTGGAGGGTGATCGTTGATGTCAGTTATTTCTACGTTTACAGTAACGATGGCTGTTGACGTGTGGTTAACAACTACGGCATCAAACCAGAAAGACCGCGTTTCTTCTCTGTCAAGGGACTGGCTGGTAGACACTATTCCCGTAAATTCATCAACATAGACGAATTCGCTATAGGGACCGGGTCGCAGGAAATACCGCGTGGTTTCGTCTCCATTGAGTTCTGTTGCCAAGTGTGCAACGGTTGTCCCATTTGGCTTCTCCTCCTCCACTTCTGTTTCCAATGTAACGTGGGGGCATCCGGTTTTGTCGTAGATCCATTCCGTATGATTCACATCAATGAGAACATTGTATATGTGCAGGAGGGCAGACGGTTCAGTGCTGTTATCTATGGAGACTATGGTCAGCCCGTACGCTCTGTTTGGATCGAGCATCTCCGAGACCTTCAACAGTCCGTTATCTTCGAGAACAAATTTGCCCTCATCAGACCAAAGTATTTCGAATCTAACATTTCCGTCACTGTCTTCTAACGAAAGTCCCCTTAGATCAAGAACTGTTGAAATAAGAAATGTTAATCTTAGTGATAAAATCAACTGAGGCAAATTATAGCGCAGACGAAACCCTAGCCGATGTCTTAGACTGCCATAGACAATTATACGAGACAGGACGAAATTCTTTGCGCAAATTTCTTCCTTCAATAGAAGTCCTGAACAGCTGTTCCCAAGTAAAGGTATACACAGTATAGGGCATTTAAGTACTATGCAGGTAACTTGGAATGCAAATAATCATATGTCAATTCCGCAATTCAAGCTACGACTAGTGCCAATCCCACATTTAGTGACACTGTGGAAAACGTGCTAGTCTATATGTTAGGTTAACACGCATGTATAAAGAAAGAAACCGTTACACAACCGATTCCTCCATCAATCAAGTTAACAAGAACGTCTGACTGTGTATTGAGTTACAATATTATATTCCTTGTAGTCTTTAACAAACCAGCTCTAACTACTCATACTGCCAACTACATTTATAAGATTACCAGAAAGCGAGAGGAAGTTGAAAGTACTTGTGTACTATAGCAGTTTTATTATCAACATTGATGATGTCCTTTGTCAATATGTGACCTGTCTTTAGCCCAGTGGGGCAAAATGTACAATAAAGGTCTTCATTCAATTCAATATTCCCTATGAAAGGTTTATAATGGTGCGCTTACCTATGTCATGTACCTCGTAACCGGGCTGGATAGGTGAGCTGACTGTCTGGAACAAGTGGGAGAAATTTCGCGCTTCTCGGCCTGCAGATATACAAAACTTATAAATATATGATAATGTTATGGCAGCATGAAATGTTATCATTTCGCGATGGGAGAAAAGTAGTAGGAGAAAAGGGAGCCGGGTACAAATAACCTTCATTAAGCCAGGACGGAGGCCGCTACTGACTACCGCTACCCCATTGAACCCATTGCTCACGTCACTTCTTAAAATGACGTGGAATGAGAAATCATGACTTCGGTTATTCACAATAGTCTAATGACGTATAGGATGTTCAACTGCTTTCTACACTGGGAGCGATCAAATCAAATCCTTATTTGCATTATTTTGAAAATGCTCCATGGTTCACGATTTTTATTCGGAACGTTTGTACTGCAAAATATACACTTGTTATATACTGCTTAAACTCTCATAAATGCAATTATGCTAGATTTACTTTTGAACAAAAAAAGGAAATAAAAATATTAGACTCAACTGTAGAACATTTTAATATCTTTAGGAACACGAACCTATTTCACACAGTTGCCACTCCAAGCCAGTTCCTTCACAGGACGGAGCTCCGTGCAGGTCTGCCCTGTCCTGACAGGTTCGTGTTCTGATGCGAGCCTCCACAGCCGTGTAGTTCACATACCGGGCCTCACAGTCCTCACTCCACGGGCTCCAGTCACCCCACTCCGATTGGTCTAAACAAATAACATTCAGTAATACAATAAATTCAAGACTTGGTCTGAAAGCTTCTACATTTAAGCCTTAATAAGTCGTGTGTATCAGCAGAGACATGAAAGCTTCTTGGTATCAGTTTAAATTCTGTCTATTATTATCTTCTTTCGTACTGCTTAGCCCAATAACAAATGAATTAGTAGCAGATGATTGGGCTAGTAGCAGCTTGATTTGTACTATCAATTCAAGACTTAAATAATGTTTGATATGTGATAGAATATGAGCAGAAGCTATACACCTTAATCGTTCGGTGCTGAGGTAAATTGAAACAGTGAAGGGACTAAATTGTTTGTTTAAAGTATGCATATTGGATTGGAGCTTAAACATAACATTGAAAAATACCAACATACCACGCTTTACCTTTTGAGCTGATAGGCACCAGTGCAAATATTACTGGTATAAATCAACAAATTAAAAGGGAGAAATGCGCTTGGTGTCAGAATAACATTAGATGCACACATGGCATTAGATTGATACATGTTTATTAAATGGCTTTAATTAAAAAAGCTGGAGATATTTACTTTTTTAAAAGACAACAAATGAATACTAACAAATTTCACAGTGCTCCCCGATGAACGTTTCTTGGCAGTCGCATCTGTAACTTCCCAGTCCATCCACACAGACGCCTGAGTTCCAACAGGTCACATTAGCGCAGTCATCCACATCTGTAAGACAATTTAATACAATTTTCCATTAATACAACTCTTGCCTCTTACAGTTCATAGCATACAATGCAACGTTATATACATACAGCTTATAATGTGATATCAATGATTTCTGTTATAACATGGTAAATGTTTTGACGTATTTTTGTGATACAGGCTTTTAGAATGGTTTTATTTGAGTTTTTTGGCTGTGTTATAGCAAATGTATTACTGTGTTAGTGTGCCGTGTTTACCATGAGTCATCACAATGGAATGCAGGGCATCAACCAATAGGCATGCAGCTTTCCTCTATACTTCTTGCTGATTGGCTGTTGGGATTTAACTTGATTAACACCTGCACAGAGCATTTCCACCTGCACAGAGCATTTCTTGCTGATTGGCTGTTGGGATTTAACTTGATTAACACCTGCACAGAGCATTTCCATACTGACAGTATGTCTTTATTCAAGTGTTTTGGTAGGTATTTCAAGCTTTTCTGCTCCAGCATTGGAATGCGGGGCATGAACGTTTTTTATTTATTTTGAAAATCAACAGTTTGCATTATGCAATTAAAAATCCTAACCAATAAAGTAGGGAATAGCTATCCAACTGTTGTTTTAGTTGTATGTTACTTCATATTATAGTTATATCAATGTAAATCATTGTTTTCCCTTGTGTTTCTCATTCTTTCCCTGCCATGTCGTAAAATGTGGTGAACCCATCGCTGTATTTGCTCCAAAGCAAATATTGGCCTTTCTAGTTTAGTAAATAATTTCTAATGAACAAGACTTAAAAGGTACTTCAAGAGAGAAAACATTCATATCATTGTATAAAGTATATGGATCTTATGCTATTGTATGATATGAAATAATATTATACATGTTTAAAACATGAAGTCGCTCTGAAGTGTGATGTCAACACTGGGTCAAAGATATCTGGCCCCAGTCGCGGTTGAGAGAAGGGTGATGGGCCGACATCGTTTACGAGATACCTTAATCTGTGTGACGTCACACTTCAGAGAAGCCACGTGACAAGTCTCACTGGGTCAGTCTACAGAGGAAGACCATAGTGACCGATCGAAAGCTCTAGGTGAGAAGTATTCCTTTTAATTTGTCAGGTGATATGGGTAATATGTTGCTTAAGTAGGAATAAGTTGCAGACTAATGACTAATACAATATATTCAAATTATTTTTAAAATCAACGCACTAATGCACATGGATTCTTGTTCTCTATAAACTTCATTGCACTAAAAATACTAATCAAACTAAAAAAATGTACTCACCAATGCATATAGACCCTTTTTCTATGTATCCTTCATTGCAAACGCATTTGTATCCGCCCATTGTATTCGTGCACGTCTCATTGTGGGTACAATCGTGTAGGCGTGGATCACCGCATTCATCGATGTCTATGGTTGACGTGCAAAAGAAAAATAAAAGAGGTAAGTTACTCTGGCATCTCTAGTTCCAATTACAGATTTGTACCTGTATTTGTACCTGTATATATACATGTACATATATACCTGTATTCTATATACAGGTCTATACAGGTACCATGATGGAATACAGGTATATATACAGTGCTAGTACATCAAACGCAAGTCATGTACATTGCAGGTTGCTTACGTACAATGTATTAAATAAAATTTTTATTTTAGACATTGAATGAAGGCTGGAAAAGGACAGACCCAGATGAAATCTTGGCCCTATGTCTCGGTAAGGGATGAAGAGGATATTAAGCAAATATAAGACCTTTAGGGTAATTCTTACCTATGTAAATAAGAAAAAAGTTGTTCAGCATACCTTCACACACAAATCCGTCTCCATGGAATCCATGATCACATGAGCAGTTGTACTGATCCATGCCAATCAGGTTTGTACATGTGGCGTTTAGATGACAGTGATGCGTTCCCTCTTCGCACTGATCAATATCTGTAATAATAAGTAAATATATATACATCATGTTAGATCAGAATCATCTAAAGAAATACACTCAAACTGAAGTTTGAAAGATACAAAAATCCATTTAACTTAAGTTCATGAATAATGCTGATTGTTATTCAGAACTTCAGGAACCTTATGTTTCTGAATGACATATATTCTATACCTATAGGTATAGAAAGTTACATTTCATAAATTGATTGGTATAGATCCATTATATTGATATTTATTCTCAAGTAAGGGTTTTGTCCATCCAACAGGTCACATTAGCGCAGTCATTAATACAACTCTTGCCTCTTACAGTTCATAGTATATAATGCAACGTTATATACTTACGTATAGCTTATAATGTGATACCAATGTGCTTTATGTCATAACATGGTAAATATCTTAATGTTTTAAAGTTTCATTGCACTTAAAATGTGTACATGTACGTGATGTATTGTTATGTCTTACATGTATGTACCCTCTCCTGGAAGAATAGCTGCCACCTTCGGGTGGGCAGCTAAAGGAGAGTTTTCCGTCAATAAACCTCAATGAAATACTAATTAAACTAAAAAAATGTACTCACCAATGCATATAGACCCTTGTTCTATGTATCCTTCATTGCAAACGCATTTGTATCCGCCCATTGTATTCGTGCACGTCTCATTGTGGGTACAATCGTGTAGGCGTGGGTCACCGCATTCATCGATGTCTATGGTTGACGTGCAAAAGAAGAATAAAAGAGGTAAGTTACTCTGGCATCTCTAGTTCCAATTACAGATTTGTACCTGTATTTGTACCTGTATATATACATGTACATATATACCTGTATTCTATATACAGGTCTATACAGGTATATGGAATACAGGTATATATATACAGGTATGCTAGTACACAAAACGCAAGCCATGTATATTGCAGGTTGCTTACGTACAATGTATTAAATAAAATTTTCATTTTAGACATTGAATGAAGGCTGGAAAAGGACAGACCCAAATGAAGTCTTGTCCCTATGTCTCGGTAAGGGATGAAGAGGATATTAAGCAAGTATAAGACCTTTAGGGTAATTCTTACTTATGATAAATAAGAAAGAAGTTGTTCAGCATACCTTCGCACATAAATCCATCTCCATGGAATCCATGATCACATGAGCAGTTGTACTGATCCATGCCAATCAGGTTTGTACATGTGGCGTTTAGATGACAGTGATGCGTTCCCTCTTCGCACTGATCAATATCTGTAATAATATAATAATAATAATAATAATAATAAATATATACATCATGTTAGATCAGAATCATCTAGAGAAATACACTTTGAAAGATATATACTAAACTGAACTTTGAAAGATATATACTAAAATCTATTTACTTATTTACGAATAATGTTGAGTGTTACTAGTATTCATAACTTCATGAACCCTACGTTTCAAAAATAGGTATAGAAAGTTACATTTCATAACTTAATTGACATAGATCCATTATATTGATATCCATGATAAAGTAATGGTTTTGTCCATACTTGAAAAAATGTTGTTATACCATCTCCATCTTCTTTTGTTTAATATTTGCCCTCTGTTAAACTGATACCACACACATATACACTCATCTTCCAATACAGATTTAGTTTTACTTCCAAAAGTTTTATGTAGCAATAGAAACAAGATATATATAAACCCACGTTGTGATTAGAATGATAAGAACACGCAGGTTACAAAATAGCCTGGATGCCAGATTGTTGTCAGCGGCAATATACAGAACAGCCTCTACAGTTAAATCTGGACCTGGAGCTGAGAAGCTAGCCTGGCAACAGTCTAGCACCCAGGCTATAACTACTATAAGATAAGAAGATATCATCCAACCAGTGCAGTTGAAACCGTCTCCTCCATAACCGCCCATGCATGCACAGCTGTAGGACCCGTCCGTGTTGTAGCACTGGGCGTCTTCATGGCAGAGATCAGAGTTATCCAAACATTCATCCACATCTGAAAATTAAAGATGGGAGCAATGAAATAATATATCTCTAATTTTACAGTTGTTAATGTGCTTGGCGTAGTGCATATGTCTATTAAATAAATGCACAGGAATAATGATTTGATAATGTTATTACCAGGTGTATACACCATCACCTCTTAGTGACACAAACTCGACAGATAATTTTTCCAAATTGCTTGATTCATTTTATCATATGTAATGTTCTACTAACCACTATTGGTCTAACATGAGACATGAGAAACAGTTACAACTTCAATCTTGCTTTCTATCGCAGATTCCATTGCTATGCCCCTCCTTCCACAGTACCCGATACTTGTTGTCTCATAAGAAGTGTTTACCAATTACACAGATGTAACTTTTGTATGCAGTATATTGACATAACAAAACTGACCCTTGCAGTAGGTGCCGTTTCCAGAGTATCCCGGTGGACAGACGCACTCGTATAGATACACAGTATCTACACATAATGCACTGGGATGACATGTGTGGTTGTTTCCAATACACTCGTCGACTTCCACCGGAGTAGTGGCCATAGTCTGCGTTGCACATTCGCTGGTCGGTGGTGTAGAGACAGTGTCATGACTTGTTGTGATCCTTTCAGTCGTTGCCAAATGGTTATTCGTGGCCGGTATTGTAGGAGTTTGGAATGATGACATGTCAGTTGAGGGACAAACACATGAAGAAGAACCGGGTGTATTGGTTTCAGTTGAGGACACCTTGGTTGTACTTTCATTCTGTGGAACATTTGTGGTCGTTTCCTTTGTAGTTGTCATAGATGAAATTGAAGCTGTAGTCAGTGCTTCGGTTGTTTCCTCAGTAGTTGTCTGTGGCGAATCTGTAGTTGAAGTCAGAGGTTCGGTTGTTTGATCTCTAGTTGTCTCTAGTAAATTTGTAGTTCCCGTTGGTGTAGTTGAAGTCGGGGGTTCAGTTGTTTGATCTGTAGTTGTCTCTTGTGAATCTGTAACTGTCATCCTTGCCGTTAGTGTAGTTGAAGTCAGAGGTACGGGTGTTTGATCTGTAGTTGTCTCTGTTGAATCTGTAGTCATCATCATTGCCGCTGGTGTAGTTGTAGTTATCACCGATGCCGTCGGTGTAGTTGAAGTCAGAGATTCGGTTGTTTGATCTGTAGTTGTCTCTGTTGAATCTGTAGTCATCATCATTGCCGCTGGTGTAGTTGTAGTTATCACCGATGCCGTTGGTGTATTTGAAGTCAGAGATTCGGTTGTTTGATCTGTAGTTTTCTCTGTTGAATCTGTAGTCATCATCATTGCCGTTGGTGTAGTTGAAGTCGGGGGTTCAGTTGTTTGATCTGTAGTTGTCTCTGGTGACTCTGTAGCTGTCATCATCACCGCTGGTATAGTTGAAGTCAGAGGTCCGATTGTTTGATCTGTAGTTGTCTCTGGTACACTTGCAGTTATCATCATTACCGTTGGTGTAGTTGAAGTCGGGGGTTCAGTTGTTTGATCTGTAGTTGTCTCTGGTGAATCTGTAGTCATCATCATTGCCGCTGGTGTAGTTGTAGTTATCACCGATGCCGTTGGTGTAGTTGAAGTCAGAGATTCGGTTGTTTGATCTGTAGTTTTCTCTGTTGAATCAGCTGTAGTCATCATCATTGCCGCTGGTGTAGTTGCAATTATCATCATTGCCGTTGGTGTAGGTGAAGTCGGGGGTTCAGTTGTTTGATCTGTAGTTTTCTCTGGTGAATCTGTAGCTGTCATCATCCCCGCTGGTGTAGTTGAAGTCAGAGGTTCAGTTGTTTGATCTGGAGTTGTCTCTGGTACACTTGCTGTTATCATCATTGCCGTTGGTGAAATTGAAGTCAGAGGTTCGGTTGTGTTCTCCGTAGTTGTCTGTGGTGAATCTGTAGCTGTCGTCATTCCCACCGGTGTAGTTGAAGTCACAGGTTCGGTTGTTTGATCTGGAGTTGTCTCTAGTAAATTTGTAATTGCCGTTGGTGTAGTTGAAGTCACAGGTTCGGTTGTTTGATTTGTAGTTATCTCCACTGAGCTGGTAGTTCCCATCGATGTTGCCTGTGAAGTTGATGTTGTATTATGTGTTTCAGTTGTTTCCCGTGTAGTTGTCTCCTCCGAGTCGGTAGTCACCATCGATGTTGTCTGTGAAGATGAACTTGTACTAAGTGTTTCATTCCTTCCCTCTGTAGTTGTCTCATTTGAATTGGTAGTGAACATCAATGGTGTCGCGGTGAAAGTTGTATTCAATGTTTCCTCGGTAGTATTCATCAATGCCGATGAATTTGAAGCAAGCGGTTTGGAGGAGTGTGTTGTTTGTGCCATGGTGGACTGTGTCACGAATGTTGTACTTGCAGCTGTTTGATAATAAAAAGGACGCAATTAGCTATTTTTTTCTTACAAATAGATCTACATCACTTATTAAATGTGTGCTTATCAAAAGGACGTTTGTACGATCCGAAGTTGAGCGAAACCCGTCGTGCATTGTGCATAGCACGGTGTACAGAACGTCTCGTTTTAATTTAGGCCGTGTTCGTGGTAGTTTTCAAACTTTGTGTAGGAAAAAAAATCGATCTACGTATCTACGACGGGTGAAATTCCAATGCAAAGGTCGACCAAATATCCAACCGTGGTTCCACGCAGGCGCAGTACGTTTGCTTGTGCCACATCGCTGCCCGTGACGGGTCGTTCCGTTTGGGTGGTTCTGTTTAGTGTCTGTTTGACTGAAACACTATCCACACCAGTATCCACACCTACTACAAATAAAGGCCACTTGAATTGAGCATAAGGATGACATCCACGCGCGCATTAATTTTCGCCCACTCCCCCGCCCTTAAAGTTTTCGACCATACTGTAAATCGTACGAAACGGCTGTGTGTTTAGTCATTTGTTCTACCTTCATGACCACGTAAATTTCATAACAAATGCAACTTTTTTTACCAAACTTGCTTTTTATTCGTACGCTCGCATCAGTTTTGGGGTTCCCAGTGGATGTCATCCCTAGAATCAAATTAACGTGGCCTAACGTTGACTGTACATACATTGTAACATGCTTGAGTGGTGGATTTTGGTAACCCAAGAAGTTTGAAACGTTACCCAAGTCAACAGTCGAATTCCGTAACACAATGGCAACCACATGCATGCCGCTTAGGTGAGGTTATGGCACGTACGGTGATGTAATGTACATATTTTGCAAACTGTGATGATCCAATAAAAGAACTTTGGTTTGTTTGTCCCACGGCCCCCGTGGCAGGTTCAATAACAGTAACGGGACTATAAAGATCTATAAAGAGACTCTTTTTACACAGCCATGAGTTTTAATGGAGCCGACCTTTCGATGACCGTCTGTTACCTTAAATTCTTCAGGGCAATTCTTAGTCTGGTTCACATTGCACTGCAGCACAGGTGAACCAGTCAGAATTGTGCTGAGGAAGGTGACAGACGGTCACCGAAAGGTCGGCTGAATAAAACTCATGATTTTGTAAAAAGGGTCTCTTTATTCCGTGACTTGCCAACCTGATGAACCTATTCAATAACAGTGATAAGACTTTGATATGATAGTTTATAGTGTGCCCCGACGGCAGTCACCTGACTGCTATGGGACCGACGGTGAGGGTGACGGTGACAGTGTTTTCAAAGGCGTCAGACGAATGTAAGGTGGGGTTTTCCGTACAATTAATGGAAGCATGTTACTGTGTCAAATAAACTGCACATGTAAAATACGCCGCAAGCGTAAAGGAACTTACAAATGCATGTACGTAGAGTTTCAGTATGTACCCACTCGCAAAGTCCGACGCGTTTATATATGCAGGTGCATGAACAAACGATCCGTTTCTTAGCAGCCAGAGCATATATGTTTAGTGTGTTGTTTGCAGAACAAAGTGTCTTTCTTGACCATTTAAACATTGTCAACGTTTACAGCTAGCTAGCTTTACAGCAAACTAAGGTTAGGTGTAACAGGTCGCTCGGTGTAAAAAAACATATAGCCAGCTGCCACCGCGCCGCGTGCCTACGAAGCTGGCGTGCTACGCCGATTGGTGGTTATACCGGCTATACATACATGTATGTAGAATCACAGTGATTAGTTCGCGCATCTGACATTCGATACAAATTTGTGGTTACGTTTTTGTGTTTCTAGATTAAGTAAATACTCACTGAGTTAAATGTACCTTGCAAGCTATGCATATTCACAACGTTTAGTCTACATTTTGATTTCAATCAAACGAAATAAATACAATATTTATAATTTTCAACACACAACAGCAACGTTTCATTCATTGTACTACGCCATAACTTCTAGATGAAAGTCCAATGTAGCGCTTTTTAACTCACCTTCAGTAGTAGCTTGACCGCTACCTCTTCCAACCAAAAGTACCAGAACCAACACCAGGAGAGACCCTCGTCCCATGTTGATCACCGACATCATAGTTTAGAGTGGAAACGAATCATGGATGCTTCCACAAAGAAAATATATCAAGGTGTGTCCAGTCTGAGCTCGGGGATTCCCACACATAGTCCGAGATTTATTTCCGTCAGAAACCGGACTCTACTGCGCAGTGTACTTGTTTGCATAATAAACTCAGTAGTAAAGTAAGGGCTGACAGTATAGTATTTTCAGGATGAGAAAAAGGTGCTATCATGCTATGCTTACGTGCTTGCTACATGTATGTTAACCTAAAAAAGTTCCCCAAAAATGAGTAAATTTAGCAGTTAATGGTGATTGGGAGCTCCAAGCACCTTGAATGCAAACACACGATTCACGTCACACTACTTAACGCAATGCAAACACTAGACATATGGAGTGCAGCTGAAACAGTATAGCTTTTGTTGCTAGTGCTTTTGAAGCTTTCCGTCGCTTTTGCCTACATCAGAAGTCTTGTTAGGCATTAAGTTAACATTCTGTCAGGTAAGATTCAGTCAGGTGTAATTCTTGCGAATGTACATTGTATAGTCTATTAAAAAAAACAACAACAAAGAGGCATTTAATATCTGGTTACACCCAACATTTAATACTGAACATTTATACTGCATTTGTGGAACTGTGGTGTAACATATACAATAGAACCCAATTAAAAAGATTGTCTCTAACATACAGAATTTTGGGTTAACACATCAACTACATTAATATTTACATCTGTACAACAAAAATGCAAAACTGCCAGTGCAATTCATAACTGAAAGAGCAAACTCATTGTTTGGAAATCGTAACTTTGGGGCAAATGTTTGCAGTTATTTACGGACAGTCACAGAGAGAACTTAAAGATCAGCTGCACTAATACATGCTTGTTAACTGAGGAAAAGCTAATAGTGTAAACTTAGTATAATACAGCTGCATATACATGTAACTTGTGCTACAATACAGTACACAGGACTATGCTATCTTAAACCTCTACATTGTTTACTACTAGCCTGAGTGATTAATGTATTACATAAGGCATCAACTAGTCCGTCACACACTCCGCTGTACAACCATGTACATGTAACTCAAGGTATGGAATTGGTTAAACATTGCAATTCAATATACAAACAATGAACAGTATTGAGCATCGTGAACATTATATAACAAGAAGCAAAAAACGGTAACACATATTATCAACTGGTATTCTATACTTGTCACCTGGACATTTGTTTATTGCAACAGTGCTCTCATGAACAAACTACAGGCAACTCTACAAAATGGGATATAAAACAATTGCTTCTCTTGTTAAAAAGCTCCTTATTAACTGTTTAACAAACAATTTCAATGTATGAACAAGCTTTGTGGCAAACAGCTTTTTTTAGAAATAATGGCATGGTAATATACTGTATATGGAGTAAGCCGTACATTGTATTAGGAACATTGACTAAAGAGCCACAGATTATAATTTTTTTACAATTTTGCAGCAGTGTATTGAGCTTCATCTTCACCAGCATTTCTTCTGCAACATGAACCATTGTACATTTTGCTATATGATGAATGCACGTATTATTAGTATACCATTCATTCTAGTGTTCACATCAAGGACATCACTTTACAACTCTTCTAGGAATCGTCATTTTCATACGAGGAGGCAACGAGTTCTAAACTGTCAACAACATTTAAATCCTACTCCGCACTACTGTGTTAGTCTCCCCTTCTGCTTGCGTATGTGTACTGTACTGTGTTACAGGATATGTTGTTGTTTGTCAACAACAACTTTTGTCAGTGAATTCCTATACATAGCAGCAGAATGAGAGCTAGGACTAAGCTCCTCCTCGGTCGACCGTTCCTCAGACCTTGAGCGGCGCGGCCCCGTGGCGCAGGTTAGCGTGGGTTAGTTTGACCGGGGAGGGCTCGTCCCCGCGGCCCTGAGCCTCCCTCTGGAGGGACTCCAGGAGCGTGTCGCTGGGCGACTGTGGGACGCTGACGTCGCTGCTGCGGGAATGCACGCTGCCGCTGCGGCTCCGGGTCAGGGCAGACATGCTGGGGACACACGGAACTGTGCAGGGGAGGAGAGAGGAGCCATTTCAGTACCAACTTAGCTTCATTTAATGGAATGAAATTGAAAAAAAAGGGAGTACTCAGAACCAAGAGGGTCCCGGGTTCGAGTCCTGACACGTCACCAATCTTGTACCTTTGGGAAAGGCACTTTACATGACTTTCATTACTTAACTCATTGACAAGTGAAAATGAGTATTGTCTGTCCTGTATTCATGTTCTGTGTGGGACACAACACCAGCAACAGCTGCCTTTGTTCCACGTGTATTGTATTGTTACAATTTCAATAAATCAAAAAGGAAGTTTAACACAGATGGCTTCTGTGATGTCTGGGGGGGTGTCAGCCTCGACAATTCTAACTGTTATGTATGTAACATCTTTGCACCAAAAATGTTAATATTTTATTCAAAGACATATTTGTGTGATTGAAATATATTTCCACTTTGTAACATATTTGTGCAATTATCTCACAGATAGATGTAGATGGAGAGGAGCAATAAATAGTTACCCTCTGGGACTGTCAGGTTAGGATTGGAAATCCATTAGAAGCAGCAGAGGGGAAAAAACAATGCGAGGAAGAAGAAACAGTGTGAGTGGGGTTACAGTACACATACATGTAGGGGAGGTTCTTGCCCCGAATACAATAATGTACAATGTATCCTTTAGGCCACACTAAATCACTTGGTTCTCAGATTCACCCGCTTCATTCTTTCTGATTTGCCAAAAAAAAAAAATGGTTCTAAATCAACCCCAAAATGTCATGGCTCCTATTTCAGCTTTTTGGGCTATCAGAGGATGCCTATATCTGTTTCTAATTTTTATCTTTTTCGCCCTGTCAATTTAAATTTCTTTTTTTTTTTAATCTGAGAACCAAAAAATCCAATTGGTGTGGCCTCACCACCTCAAACATGCTGTCAATACAGATTTCAGTCTGAGTGAAGTCACAATATTGACAGTTGAAAACAGTACTGCAAGAAAAGGCTGGATCAGTCATATTGACACAAACAGAGGGAGGGTGGGGGATGCTGACATCAAGGCTCTATGGGGAAGTCCGATCCCTTGTGCTGACCAGCATAATTTCTAACTGATCATGTAGCAGAAATGCACCAGTACTTACTGTAGCCCATGCCTTGCAGGAACAGCTTGAAGGCCTCACACATCTTCCCTGGCTGGAAGGCAGAGATGTTGTTTAAAGTAATTACATGACTAATAGTATGTATATATATCAAAGGCACAACACATCAAACAAGCAACAATTACACTGAGGAAAGATAGATATGTTAAGCGGGCCATACTAAATAATGTTAAAACAAAAACAAGTCTACGATATGCACACAACTTTATATTGTACAGATATAACACCTGGTCCATTATATCTAAAGCTATTTTTGTTTTCCTGATTTTCAAGTACTAAAAAATGATATCAATATTTATTGTTTTAAACCTTTTTCCAAATATCTGAAAGCATGAGAGATGCAGAGGGCCAAGGCTATTGTAGCTTATGATTCCATGTGCTTCAGTATTCATAGTAAAATTATGTAAAATTAATTACTGAACCAACCTGTTCTTCCAGAACCATGCCTCCACAGTCAGCCATCTATGAAACAAAGAGTTAAAAACATTGCAAAACCAAATATTTCACATACCGCTTTACAAGCCTTTAAACAAATGTACTACTAATTGACTTTACTATACTACAGACTTATGGAAAAGTTAAGTAACTGTATATTTATAGTATTTACTTATTATATGTATTACCTTGATCCACTGTGTCTCCACTGGGTCCAGCCTGCTGTTCATCTCAACCTGCCAGAACAAAATTAATGGACATTTTGTGAAGAGTAGTACATCAGTATCATGCCATTGAGTGTATCATAATTTACATTTTTAGTCAATACACACACGTCTGGTAGTGTAGATTTAAATCAATTACTTACCACATCATCAATGTGTGGGGAGTAGTCACCTCCTACCAGCAGAACTGGGCACCTGGAAAACAAGAACAAGCACTCGGATCAATAATCAAATTAGTTCATTTTGCTGGAAAACTAGTTGGTAGGGGAAAACAACTCATCACTTGCAAGGTTCAAATTTTTTTCTGTATGCTTAAAATTTGAACTGGTACACGTAACATTGAAAATTACCTGACACCTGACAAATTTCACAATTCAGAGTTTAGGAAGTATAGAATGATCATACTAAAAACTGAAAATTTTGATGAATGCTCAAACGAAATTTTGGACAGCCCTACATTATGTATATACATGTATATGACATTGTATAATACATGTACATGTAGACATTTATCACAATCACAGAGGAACGTACTTGATAGTCTTTTGAACCTTCTTCTTTGCAGGATCAACTTCCCTGTGCAAACCCATGTCGTTTCGCCTGTAAAGAGAGTCAATGATAATGATTACTAATGAGACACTACATTTAAGTAGATGTATATAGAAGATCCTATGGAAAGCTTACCTAAAACCCAAATTAGGAACTTAGAAAAAAGACTGCTGCCTTAATTGTTCCTGTTTTACTGTTAGGGTCCACCAATTTAATTTCAAGGTTCCCTTTTTTTGTAGAAAAAGTATGAAGTACACAAATACACTGATGTGGTATGCAATTTAACAAATAAAAAAAAACATAGCAGAAAGAGAAGACAGAAGTCAACATACTTGATGTAGGAGTCCACAAACATGGCGAGGTTGACAGGGTTGACAGACCTGACCAGGTTCTCCCTGTAGGCATGGACCAGGTCATGGTGTCCTGCCATGGTTTTCTGCAGGGGAAACAAATGTACACTGTGACTAATAATCTGGTGGGTGTACTAACTACTATCTTAAACCAGCTCACAAGAGAATAACAGACATGCCGTCAACTACTAGAGTTATCAAACAAAAAATGTATTTTTCTCTAGAACTAACGTTGAGTGTGACTTGCTGCCACCAAGTACAGTAGGGGTTTCATTGCTAGATATCTTTAAACAATGTTTACAGTTAGATGTGCAAAGGTTAGGTGTTGACAATTTGACCTTCTGTAAATCTTAGCTTACTCCTTTAGTTATTTCTGTGCTGTCAACCTACAAGCATACACACAAATCCACAGTCAGCCGCCTCCCCTCCCAAATGGTACTTACTGAGCCAAAGTAGTGCCACAGCAGATAGTCCACAGTTCCCTCTGTCATCTGGTTACTGAACAGATACCAGTTGTTCCACTAGAAGAGAAAATACCAAGTACAATTGTACAGCAAATGTGACCACACCGGGGCACACCCTCAGAGCAATTTCACAGAACAGTATGCTTCTATATATCTGGTATATATTCACACGAATAACTTAGTCCATTGGAACTTGTGTGGCATAACAGCAGAGTGCTCAGTAACAAACCAAGAGGTCCTGAGTTTGAGTCCTGACATGTGACCAATCCTCACTTAATTCTAGTGAAGATGAGTATTGTGTATCCTGTATTTGTTTCTATGTGTGGGACACAACACCAGCAATAGCTGCCATTGTCCTACATGTATTGTATTGCTACAATTTCAATAAATCAAATCAAAATCAAATCAAATCATTGTCCCACATACCTTCTGGTAAGCCCATTCAGTCCAGCCCACTGCCGTGCACACAGTGTTGATCAGCACCAGGCCGTCGATCTTGTTACGGTTATTCAGCTGTAGTTCAAAATAAACCAACACATTATGCTTACTTAATATTTTGTAGCTTTCATTTACAGCTGCTTGCATAATGTACTACAGAGTTTTAGGGTTATCAAACCTTCAGACTGATTGTAATTTTGGCACTACAAAAATCAGTTGTCTTATAATAAAGTAATATTATGACATACAGTTAAGAGCAAAATCATAAATATACATGATAATTTTTTCAATAATTGTAAGTTATAAAGGTAAGGAACAAGTTACTTACAGCAAACCTAGACAGGACATTCCCCCCAGCTCCAACTCCAAACCCAATCACCCGCTTCAGGCTGGAAGTCAAGTATACAAAAGTAGGTTAACAAGAAGGCATGAACATTAACAGATAGCAACCATGCTAGAGAAGACCTCACTTGTAATGTATAATTCACAAGAAAATATTCTCATGTTTGTGGTGTTTGGATGGTAGGTATAGGACATGTCATCATTAGCCATACGTAAATTGTTCCAATCATGGCCTCATTTGCAAAGTGAATGAGAAAAACTACTGTTACAGTAACAACACACTTTAAGTGATTTAGTTAACGCAAATGAGGATCTTATTTGCATAATTGATTAGAAATGTTTATGGTATGCCAGTCATAAAGGTTTCATTTGGCAAAGGTATGAGGTCATGGAATTTACTTTCTTCTGTGATTAAAAGTTAAGTTAAGCCCACAAAGGGTTAAATTTTCTTAGAGTCCTTCAAAAGTAATACTATTATAATAGAGAATGCAACAATCATAAAAAAGTCAACCTGAACCATTCTAATTTCATTATGAAAATGTATACAACACTTTGTCTATATCTTTTTAATGACATTTACTAAATGTACTATAGACTGAAATTACTCAATGAATGGTTCAGAAAAGTAGAAAAAGAGCGGGAATTAATAATGCTGATTCGATTGAACTGACTTGAAGTGTTCCAGTACGGCTTCCAACATGACGGCAAGTTCGTCCATGGTGGGGTAGTGGTAGCTGTGTCAATATTCAAATAAGAAGAAAACACAATTAACACCAGTGAGCTTTTCCATTAACACCTCTCTTGTACACTTTCTCCACATTTGAGATGTCAAACAACTAAAAATTGCATCCATGAGGACTGAAATGATTTTTTTGATTGATGACACACTGATGTGCAGTGATTAGATAATGGGTTATTGTAAAGGTTCCATGAAGCATGCTTGGGTGACATAATCAATGATCGATTAGTAAAATTAATATATTACAGTACTATTATCAAATAGCCAGGTTATGTGGACTGGCCACAAGCCTCCATTCCTATTGGTTAATACAGCTGCTGTAACATTAATGATCATGGACTGACCAAGAAGAAAGCCATACGCATGTTCATGTACATGACTGTGTGCCTGGTCATGCATTAATGAACATGAATTATGTCTCTTACTGAAATTATTGTCACAGTGACAGTCCTGTTACAACACAATTCAGACATTCTGGCTGCTTTGTTTGCGAGTGTTGAAATAAACCATTTATATAGCCATTAAAGCACTCAAAGTGATTTCAATCCTGTGAAACTGGATTTTCCTAAAGCCTTGTTTCTGCGTATAGAAACATTTATTCAGTACATCATGCATTATATGCCTCAATCTGGATCATGCAGATTACAGGAGAAGAGAAGTTAGCATCTTTGATTTTGCATGCAGTTGCTGTATCATAGCATGCAGTCATGCAATTTGCATAAAGGTGACTTCTTACAGGTCCTCTGGTGGAATGGTCTCAACTGGACGCTCCCCTGTAGCACTGATGATGTTGGGCGAAGGGAAATATATTAGAGACAATACTGTCCTGTCAAGAAGTTATACTTTAGACATTTATATGACACGCATCGTGCCTAAGTGTCATGCATGTTCCTTTTTTAAATCGTTTTAGACTACTATTCTTATAAATGATAGGTACAATGTATATTGATTCTAGTGCCACAGTTATCACATAAAACATACATGTACGTGCTCCATTGTCAGTGAAAAAAGACCTCAATATCGATAATTTTAATAAACTGCGATTGATACGGCATGAATGGCTATCCAAATAAATTATTGTTGACAATATGAACAATATCAATGGAAAAAAAGAACAAAAGGGAAAAATTAAAGTCAAAATGGACTTCCATGGCAAAAGTTAATTGCAAGACTTACAGCGCATTTACATATGACTATAATCAACATGAAGATAACAATTATAATAGAGTCATGCACAAAGATGCATCTTAAAGCATGGAGAAAGTTTGAATCCACTGAGTGATTCTGCCACCAGAGGTGAAAGAGAAGTAGAAGTTAGAACAGCACTGACTTCAGCACTAAGGAGAAACATATCATCAGTGACTGTTGGAAAAAGACAGAGAGGAATCAGTTATAAGACTAGGGCTGTTTACCTACATGTACATTGTAAGTGTAAACATCAGGTACAGGTACCATTACAAATCTTTACATACTGGTCTGGACCTACATGTAAATGTAATAGGTAAAGGTAAAAAGGTTTAAGTAATATAAATGGTCCATCAGACCTGTACCTGTATCTTTATAATTTCATACTTATATGTGGTCTTCAATGACATGATATTAAAACATGAATAAACAGTTAACAGAATGTTGATTTAGACTCCATCTTATGCAAACAACCAATGATTTCCAGAGGATCTCTAATTCTTAAGATGGTGCTGATTTCATACAAATACAATGTTTTCACACATTTCTTTTCAGTGCTGAAATAATAATTCCTTTTAGCAGTGATCACAATTTAGCAACAAAACAAGTCAAATAAGCCAAATACTTGAGTGTAGGTCTATACAGGTACCGGTACCAGTACATGGATGTTCCGATATTTTGGACCAGTTTTACATCGTTTTTATGGTACTGTACACAGCCCTAGTAAAGAGGCTACATTTGCCTAGAAACACAACACTGGTGGTGCAAAATATTTGTTTCACAGCAACTACATGTGCCAGTGTGAAAGACAGAGATGTGCATGTGCGTATTTCCTGTGCATAAAACATAATATATACATGTAATACTGCCAGCTAGCACACAGATTTGGAAGTGTACAAGAGACAGTGAGACAGTAGGTCTAGAGGGTAACAAGTGCATTTCACACCTTCAAAACCTGACTTAATACATTATTACGTGAACCGGCCTTATAAAATGGTAATGTGTTCTAAAATAGTAAAAGGCAAGCATATTGACGAGCTGAATTAATAATAAAAGGTAGCTTTACCAGTTTATTTCTACTTTAGGTCAAGTCAGTTCAAAGCCTTCATTTATTCTCCATAATGAATCATTTCAATAAAGCAGCATTTACTTGCTTCCTACAATCTTACAGATCATAGCATTCCCTTTTTTTTCCGAAGCAATTCGAAACCCTACAACAGAAATGGGTGCATCTCTTTCTCTTTTTTTTTTTGCTCTTTTTTTTTGTTTGTTACAAAACAGCAGGATTAAAGTAGCAAGGGTCACCTGACGTCATCTTGTTGGACAAGCAAACTTGAGGCTTGCTGACCTGACCACTTCCACATCCTGAGACATGAGGGGAGGGAATTGAAGTGGACACAATCTTTACACATGATCTTGACACTCAGTGAAGCAAGGAAGTTCAAGGTTGGCTGGTACAATTGCCAGGTAGCTTTAAGTGCTCATGACACCATAATACCAGCTTATCTGATTGTAGTTGACATGGTTACAATCATAGATATACATGGTTCTCCTGGTATATTTGAAATTCCAATGCCCCACCTCGGAAAAGTCAGCTAACATTAATCAGTACAATGTACTTTAAAGTTTAAGGACAAGAAGAGACTGCATTCCTACAGGAGATAAAAACAATGTACATCATGTTTTAATACTTCTGAACGCTAGTCTGTTATAACCTATTACAGCAAACTAAAAAAAGCTACAGAATCACCATCACAAAAAGGTCTTGTAGCAATTCAACACAGTGTAGCTGCTGTAAAAAAAAATTGCATAAAACTTGTCAAGAAATCCTCTTACACATTAGCTCCCATCTTGGCATGATCCAAATCACCTCCAGTAGTTCTGATGCAGCATGATGGAAGAAGTAGGAGGTAAACTATGTAAGACAGCTACAGACTCAACCATATGCATCTAAGTCACACTGGAAGTCTTAAATTAATTAAATTGGATTCCACCCAATTTGACAGCAAAATTTGAGCGAAAAGTGCTTCCTGTCATGTGTTTTTCATCTCTTTGCACATACCAGTATATAGCCTGGGTGCCTTTGTAATGGGGCACTCGCTACCAGGGTAGCAATTATACTGAAAAATCCTTGTCGAGCCTCCAGTCTACCTCAATGTTTGCATTAACAACACAATGCATTGCAACTTGCCCATACCTTTGCTCTCACATATTTCTTTTATTGAGACTACTGTAACAGTAACTGTACATTTACCTGATGTATAAAAAAAACAGACCTAAAACATTTAGTATGATGTAACGTAATGCTGGGCACCAAAGGTGCAACAATCCTAAGGGGGTCCAGGGGCATGCTTCCTCGCAAAACTTGAAAATCTTGACACTCTGAAACTCTGTTGCATGCATTTTGAAGGGCAAAGTTTACTCATGCATAAACTAAGCTTAATTTGATAATGTCTCTTTCCATATCTTTACACATTGATTTTGGTTCGACAAAGATCGCGGATTGGGCAAAATTTTTGACTGTCATGAATGGCAAAATACTGGCAATTGGCTAGAACATATAGCAGTAAACCAAAAACCTGGTGAAGATAACTTTGAAACAGAAAGTGTTCAGGATGGAAGGAGGAATCTGCAGTTCACAGTACACAGATAAGTGGAGAAGCCAGATAGAGTTGTATTTTAGGTTATTGACTCAGAGTCTTGTAGGTACTTACAGGTGCACATCCATGGGTGTGGCATCCATGTGCTGGCCAGGTGCGTTGACATGATACACACAGAAGTTTTTCAGGATCACCTGCATCTCCTCATAGTTGAAGAAGTTCTGGAAGCAAGTCACGTCTGTACAGATGGAAATAGCACTTCATAAGAAACAGAACATAAAAACGAAAGTCATAAACTTGTATGTACAGGTGTATAGAAAATTATTTTTGCAAGTTTAGACCATAGACTACTTCATCATCTGATCAAATCTGACTAAAGGTGACATTTAATTTGCTTTGGAAATTTGTCTTCATTTGGTTATATTTAAAGTTTATATTAGTGGATATTCACAGGTAGGTGATTTGCAACTACAAATTATAATTACAATCTAATAATGTACTTGTACTTGACAAGTCTTAATTGTACATGTATGTGTATCAGACTGATTCATTTACAGAAGGCATTCAATTTCACATTTAATTAAACAGGATACAATGGAATAGTGTAGAAAAAAATAGGCACAATTTTGATTATACATGACTGTATTGAGCTTGAGTTTCTGTATAATCATATTCATTGTACAGCTACAGTTCATTTTTGCACTTAGGACTTAAATTTTCCGGTAGGATGCCAAGGGAGATTTCCCCTGAGTGTGCTTTGACTTCACAGTTAAACCTCCTTACTAGTAGTTGAAACAATTCTGCAGTACAGTGGTCAAATACTTCAAAACACATTATTTCTTCACTGCATATTATGATTTTGTAGCAGATCTAGAGAACACTGTGAAAACCACTGTGAATGTTTCCAGATTCACGGTACTTACGGTTCAAGCCGATGTCATGGTAGGTCAGGATGGCAGGTTTGGCTCGGTTCCCCTGAACCGCCACTTTCATTGTCCCGCGGGACGTCTCTACATCTTCCTCCTGTTACCATGGAAACACAGACGTCACTACAGCAATAACAGTGTGTCCCAGGGGTACTATAAGATAAGCTAATCCTGGCATTTACTGCGGTAGTCAACCAATGCTTACAATATATTCCAAACACATTGATACACAATGGCCACAAAATACAAGGAAAATTTGAACAAGGTAGTAGAAGCTCTGAGTCTTAGACAATCTACAGGTTGCTGTTCTATCTATAGTAACCTTGCAAAAATTGGAAGTTAGAAAAGGTGATGTTCTGAATACAAAGTACTATCAAATTGAATAAAAAAACATGCACGCAGTAACCAATTAATTATTTCTTGTTACTTGTGTCCAGCAGTAATAATATTAATGGTTTGACTTTGAGTGGTATTGCAACAGGAATTTTTTCATCATTGAAATAAATGCTTTCTCAATTGTAACTTAACACAGTTTGTCCTAAAAGTAGACATCATATAAATGATATTATCTTTTTCAGTTATGGAGTGATTTTCCATTTTACAACAAACAGCCTATAAAAATCTATACAGTCATATATGCATGGACATGATTACTGCCAGGTGGGTATATAATATATACCCATATATATAACTCACACAGAAGACGGTGTCTGAAGCCTCCTTGCTGAGCATGAGCGGCTGGTTCTCCTGAACAGAGATGTTCCTCAGTTCTACCTCATCCATCTGCCAATACACAAGGAATCATAACAAAAATAAATCTTACATTTCTAACATTTCATTTCATTTATTTTGAAACCTTTTAGCCCTGCTAGGCTAGTCTTCCATTTGAAATGACATAATTACATAGCAAGGATAGGTTAACAAATAGGTTAATACTCTTAAGCTGCAGTTATTTAATTTGGGAATCTATCTAATGCTCAAAGGATTAGGATTCATTATTCACTGTATTCAGGTAAATTCGTCAAAATCCTTTTCTTCTGCATACCATTTGGGCTGTTGCAGGTAATGATTTATTGAAATCTACCTGCATCAGAAAAATTTTATCTGCACCACTCAGATTCAGAATTTAGTGAGTATGGATCATACTCTTCATAAATGATAGTTCATAGCTGGTAATAACAGTCAATGCAGCAAATAAAACACCACATACATGGACATGTGCGTTTTACCCAGTACAAGGACCTGTGCAGGTAGACCTTACCTTACCTGCACGGCTCCAATTTTACCTGCACTAACCATATGCAGGTGGGATTTTAAGTCCTGCTATTACATGTTGAATCATCCAGATAAGGCAAGAAATTTTAAGCTCCTACATGTAGTAATACAATAACACACCAGTACAAATAGATTCTGCCATAACCTGCATAAAAATCCACTGACTTACCCAGTATGGGGACATCATTGTGCTTGAAGTTGGAAATACAGAAGGACGAGAGGGGGAAAATAATGGCTGGTACGGAGAACCCAACCAAGAAATGGCCCAGGGAACGTAGGAAGAACAGGAGGAAAACATCACACAGACAAGACAAGAACAGGACAAATAAATCAGTTACTAGCTCTACTTAAAAAACAAATTCAAGTTGAAAGGATAAATATTGTAAAGGAACAAGGCAAGCTGGAAGCTCCGACTGGCTGCGTATATCCAAGCTTTCATCAGCCACGGTTCCATTCAGAGATACAATCACTAGATAGCTTGGCACATCCCCGCTCCAATATGTTAAGTCACGTTTTCCACTTAACTGGCATTTGAAAATATTCCCTATTGAGTATTGGGCCTGTGGAAGTAATCCAAAATTGCTACTGCTTCAAAAGGATGAGGTTGGGCTGGCACACTCGTGTAATCAATCACTTGAAGCATACCATATAATAATATTGGATACACTGCAGTAGGCCTGCTGCAATATTGTCTTCAGTGTCGAGGAGAATTCGAAGTTCAAAGTCACCATTAATTTTCCTTTTCTCCGATTATGGCCTTATGTTATTACATCCACTGGATGCAAGAAGCCCACAATTTTTCATATATAGACCGTCTAAAATGATAATTGTGGCTCCAAAATATCTTCCATAATAATATGGTAGTGGATCTAGCTGCTGCATTCTTGAATACATATGCAAATATATGCACCACCAGTAGTGCCTTACCTAAAAATGTACTACATGTAGTACTAATCACAACTTACTTGTGCACTGTCGGTACAGCAACACAGAAAACAATTTTGCACAACTAAAACTAGTCAGCAAAACCTTTTCAATTTAAGGGTTGGATAGATCATGTATTTTTTATTCCTAAAATAAATTACAAATTAATATTTCATTTAAAATGACAATATAAAACTTGAACTCCCAGTGTGTCTAAATCCACTTTCCTTTTTCAAAACATACACCTCTTGAATGATTCTATGATGATTGATATAAATAGAAAGAGAACATTTTTACAGCTTTGAAGTTAAACAGATCACAAGTCAGTTGCACGAGTGTCATCAACTTCAAGTACTACTGGTATCACCATCAAAAGTGCCACCTACCAATTCACTTTGTAACTGACAACTACAATGTATATACATGTATTAAAAGGTGTTGCGAGAGTGCCATATTCCAACACAAGTTACAAATATTAGTTCTAATGTATGTGTAGTTTACTACTTCTACTTCTAGTAACATTTTGCAGAGCAACTAATTCTGCTGATATTATGTCTTATTATGATCTCAGCACAAAAGTCCTACTAGTATTGCTATGTCAGTCATAATCCCCTGAGATTTTTTTTTTTTTGCAACAAATTGTCAAACTCCAAACTGAAACAAAAATACTAGTACTGGGAATGACTTCAATGAGTCAGATACTAACATTTGCATGAAGACAGTATTAGGAAGTAGTTACAAGTATTACATGACTTTACCAGTATGCCCAAACTGCACATAGTATCTTTAAGTTTATTTAACAAGAGAACTACTAGTAGAGCAATAAGGGCAGTAAAACTAAAACTAGATTTTCAAAGTCAATTTTCTAGTCATTTTTTTCAGTAAGTAAGATGAAACAACCCTATCCATGCTTCTCCGCTGGGCAAAATGAGATGTTGCTTATACACACATATGTGAGGATTGAGGAAGCACCTCTTTTCTGTTTGTAAACAGAAAATAGTCGCTTCCTCAACCTTCACATATATATCTATACTATTCTATAGCTTCTTGCTTGAAGTATGAAATGATGATGAAAATGCAGAAAATGCATTTCAGAAATGTCAATACATCGATGTATAATACTATTAGAAAGATTTCCTCATCTTGAATGTTTTTGTTTACTAGTAAATGCCCTGTAATTCCCTTGACTAAATTAATCCTATAGGTTATATGACTAGGTTTGTATTTGTATTTGTATGTTCCTTCTATTTTTCATAAACTCTGTAATTTGCATTCTTTTGCATGATGCACTTTGACGAGGCCCTATAATTGCGGGAACGGGTTTTCTGCGCGTGAAAATTTTGCGCGCGCGTGAAAAATTTGCGCGTGAAAAAATTAATTTCCTGAATTATGTCAGAAAATATGCAGTACAAAATTCTAAGACAGAAAAATGTGATCCCATGATATAATTTTCCATCTGTTAGCCACAGTCTTAGCTTTAAAAACTTACTGATTCTCTAGGTCCCCTGGGAATAGGTTACTTTGCAAATTATTTGAGAACCACTCAAAGTTGTCACAAATACAAGAGATTGTTCCTAGTGTAAGGTTTTGTATTGTAAGACGAAACAATTGATATTACATACAACCAAAATTTCAGAAGTTTTCAAGCAGATTCTTTCACGCGCAAATTTCAACCTTTTTTGCGCGTGAAGACTGAATATTTGAAAATCACTCAAAGCTGGCCGAAAAAAGGTTCTGTACTCTAGGATAGATAACTATGATGCTTAATTCCATTTTATATCTGTTTTAACCTTAAAGTTATTAAGATCCCTTGGGAGTCAAGATTTGCATATTGGCGAAGTTAAGCCAATTCTGTATAATTACATACGTATATTCAGTATAAATGAATACTGAAGTTAGTTATATTCATACTGAACCAGTACATTTTCATTCATGTCTGTATGTCACACTCACTGTGCCACAGGGCACAACTATATCCTCGTCTCAGTTACAAACTTTGTACTCGTTGTCAAATCCATTATACATGTTTACCTGAGTTGTACATTTGATAACTCTATGGTCAAGAAATGCGAGAAAATGTTTTCACATGATCTAATGACACTGGCAGATGATGGAGTTTGCTGGGATATCTTCATCTACTGCATTTATAGACTTAAATGTATAATATGTTTGTGTCAGTCAATTCAGCCTGATCTCAAATTCCCAAAAATAGATAAGTTTAAATTTACTCTCATGTAGAATTATATATCAGGCCAAAGAAATCTTACAAGACTCTGTGTTTTGAGTTTCAGCAAACTGAGATTTCATGGTACATGACCCTAAAGTATTAGTTTTACTCCATCCAATGACCCCAAACACTGTGAGGGCATTGAGTCAGGGCAGGGAGTCAGGGCAGGCATCTAACCCTAGTACCTGACACTAAAATGTGGGTACAAAAAGGAATGCAATTTGAATTTGTGAGAAAGACAATGGACACTGAGCTTTTTCAGCCTGCTTGTATGTGCACATTTTAGGGTATGAATCCTGTCAGCAGATTTAGATTTCACGCTGTATCACTTACACTAAGTTACAACTTATACAAGTGACCTGTAGATGACCCTTCATACTCCTGGTTCACAGAATGCATTGAATTTGCTGCCTTGTAACTCGACTACATGGAGGGGTTTTACACATTCCTTTACGAATACAAGAAAGTCTTCTTGGTGTGTTTAGATTTTAACATTTAAGTCTAAAAAGAATGGACAACCAGAGATAATATGCACACAATGTTATATGTAGGTCACAGGATGTTGTCACCTTCTCATGCGTGGGACTAATTAACTTGCAACACAAAAATTTCACGGTAGCTAACCCAACCCCATATGATCTGTACAGAGAGACAGCCAGAACAAGCAGATGTACCTCAGTACACGTGCTCAAGCACAAGGCACCAAGCACACAAGGCACCAAGACAAGTTGAACTGAACAAATAGTGTACTGAAAAAAGTATTTTGACCATTGCACTGTTATGAAAATGTTTACCCAAATTTGGTTTCACAAATACCAAACCACTGCTGTTCTCCATTCCTGTGTACTGGATTCAACCAGGATGTCAGTGGGAGATTTCATGGTAAATCACCCAAAATGTATCAGTTACACTGACCTGTATCTGACCTCTCCAGCCATCACTGACTGATGGAATGGGTCAAGTGACCACCTCCCTAAGACTAAGAGATTCAAGAAGTTAAACATGCCCAAGGTGATTGCTTGGTAGTGACTGCTTGGTCCCTTGAAATTTAACCTAAAGCAAAAGAAACATGTCTTTCATGGTAATTCTGTTTGTGGGAAATGATAAGAAGACTTTCAAGCAGGTTTATTTTAATAGCTGTGCCTAATGATAAATAAAAAAATAATATTCTTCTTTTTTTAATTCATCACAAAGTGAAAGGGAGGGCAAAACAGGTGTACATACAGCTTTTTGTCTGGGCAGTGATAAAGCTCGATAAGAAGAAGATAACGTTTCATTATTGATGTTCCGACCTGTAAGACATGGGGTTGTAATATTATCACTCTGGCTTCCAAAAGTACTGTAGAATAATTGGAACATG